GAACATCAGATTGTAATGTCCATTTGGTACCTTTCGCCTCTCTTTTAAGATTAATGGTTTTAATACCCATTGATATTTTTCAATTTAAAGTCAAAATCGAGACCTTCAAATTAGCAAAACCCCATAGTATGACAATTGTAGGAAGAGTACACACATTTCTCCTTTAGGAAGGACAAATTGCTGAACTCACATGCCATAGTTTGTTAATGAAAGGATTGGGTTTACCCTCAATAATCTGGCTTTCTTTTACAATCAGCTCATCAGCATGATAGCGTGCAGATGTATAGTTTAAAAGCACAATACATCGCTTAATAAGAAAGAGGATACCAAAGGGGCAATGAAAATAATAATTCAAAGAAGTTCAGATAATTGCATTGCCTAAAGAACAATGAAGAAAATACAAAAATAGTCTCAAAAACAAAACACAGGAAACAAAAGATTACAAATCCCACCAACAACCAGGAGTAAACATCACTGGTTTGTCTGTTTTAAATATTGCTGACCGATCACAAATACTGATATTTCTGATTTTTATGTTATTCAACCAACAATGGCTACCTTTACAAGATTTCAATAGTAGCACGCTCATTTTTGACACTACTTCTCAAAATATGTGCTGTATTTGATTTCCTTGTTCAAGTGCTGTACAGTTTCTGATGTTGTGTGATTTACTTTTACTTCACATGGTCTAATTAGGGAAAATGTGGAGTTTGGTATGACATATGGTCCAGATAGAGAAAAGGGGGGTTGGGTACAACATTTGGTCTAGATAGGAAAAAGGGTGAGTTGGGTACGACGTATGATCGAAATAGAGAAAAGGGAATCTAGCGCATCTGGACAATGTGTTGTTCAGTATGGTTGGTTTTTGTTCCATTTTTTCTCTTCAGTGGTGAAAGATGTTGGTCATGTTGGTTGTTGGTGTGATCTGTTCTGTGAATTGTGCAATATTTTGTGAAGATTTGTATAAACGACCTCATACCTTTAACTTATTCTAAAAGAGCATCTAGATTTTTTATCAACTTTTACCAAGTGCCTGGCAAAATATTTGACAAAATCCATTAGAGTAGAAATTTTGTTTATTTTTAAATACAAGTATGATATTTTGTTTATTTTTAAATACAAGTATGATATTTTGTTTATTTTTAAATACAAGTATGATATTTTGTTTATTTTTAAATACAAGTATGATATTTAGAAACTCATGGCATGTGAACCAGTTTGATCCAAATTTTAATTGTTAGTAGGTCTGATAAGATGTGATAAATTTCCTTTTGTTGGCTTTGTAATCTAATAGAATCACTATACTTTTTTATACATGCAATCAATGATACACCACATGAAAGAAGCTCAATGTTGTAAGCGTTATCTAAGTAATAATGTGTCAAGAAGACAGATTAATTGTAACCTGCACAAGAAATGTTAAACTTTTCCAATATCATTTAATGATAATACTTTGATATACAGTTTTTCTAACTAATGAATTGTAATATTAATGCTAACTTTCTTGCTTCATTTTCAATATTGATTGACGTTTATGCTCAACTTTATTTCACAAAAAGAAGATTAAGGGATTTAGTACAGAACATTTAATTATTTTAAACGGAATGTACTCATTAGGTGTGATATAATGCTTCATTGTTTTTACAAATTAGTAATCTTTTATTAGTTATAAAATTCTACAAGTTTACTTCTTGGGGTGAAAAGACATTACATCCTACATATGGTCTGACTGAACGACTTAATAATAACAGTTCTCCATTCAATTATGAGGAAACTTTCTTGTAATGAACAAAAGTTTCTAGTGTAGTTTTTCATGGTCAATAAACTGGTTGCTTTGACTTCATAAAAAAGATAATTTTATTGAATCAAATGATGAACAGATTATGCAATTTCATTGATAACCAGTCCTTAATTTTGTGTTGTTCCAGAACCCAGTAGATTTTTATCTTTGTTTATTAGAAAATTCTAGTAGACTTGTGTTTTCATTGATGTAGAGAAAAATTCTTGCTGGTCTTGATCTTCTTTCATATATGCAAAAGTTATAAAGAGAATAGGGTAATTTTTGTTGTCTTCATCTATATAGCGTAATTGGAAGAACAGAAAAAGTTTTTGCCATTTAATCATTCAAATAAAAAGACAAGATAGAACACAGTAAATTTTTGTCTTCATTAAAAAAAAGAGACAAAAAAAAACATGCAGTTTTATGTCATCCTTGAAATAAACAGATAACAGAGAACCAAGTAGATGTTTGTCATCATTGAAATAAACAGATAAGAGAGAACAGAGTACATTTCTGTCATCATTGATATAGGAATAAGAAGATGTGGTATGAGTGCAATGAGACAACTCTCCATCCAAGTCATAATGTGTAAAAAGTAAACAATTATAGGTCAAAGTACGGCCTTCAACACAGAGCCTTGGCTCACACCGAACAGCAAGCTATAAAGGGCCCAAAATTACTTCAAACAGGATTTATAAAGAAAAGATTAGATCATCGTCATTATTGATAGAGAAACTGGAAAGAACAATTTACATTTGTTTTGATTTCATTGATAGAGAGTAATAAAAAAGAACTTGATGAAAAGTAAATAGAAAGAACAAAGCAGACTTTTGTTTTTTTTCATTGATATGTAGTAATTAGAGTATCAAAATATCGCATAGACTATACTTTGAAGAATTGAACATTTCCTTCAGACTGCTTTGTATATCTATTTAATCAGTTGTAACTTCAAATTGTTCCGGCTCAAAAGTATTTTGATAAAGAAGTGATAATCACATCCTATCTAACTACAAGACTACAGCAATTAAGGGGAAACATCATTCTACCATTACAAGAGCCTCTGGAAGTACAGGAAATAATAAAGAAGTATAGTTGTTCAATACATTCTAGAGGCTATTTTGAAGTATAACAATAACTTTTGCTAAATACTTAAAAAAATAATTTTCATTCTTACACGAAGCCAAACTAATAGCTCTTATTTCAAAGTTTTGTATAAAAGAGAACTATAGAAATGTTTCTTCATATATAACTATATAATTTCACAATTTGAGGTCAGAACAACAAAATCATAGATTTCTTGACTTTCATTAAAATTGTATGATTTGTTTTGGCTAATTAGGCTTCTCATGATTCCAAATTTTACATAATTGAACAATTTGCATACATTATATTATGAAATTAAATTTGCCATTGATAAAATTGATATATAACTGTCACATTTTCTAAAAAAAAAAAAATTAAAAAAAATGTCACATTTGTATGTGTGGTGAACAGTGTAATCATGGTAAAAATAGTATAGCAAAAATACCAAGCTCCAAGGTATATTCAAAACAGGGAAATCCATAAAAACTGACAAAATCCAATGTTATCAACGAACAGAACGAGTGTAAAACAACTGCCATATTCCTGACTTGGTACAGGCATCTTTCGAAGAAAATGGTGGGTATCTAAACCTCCCACTTGTATGACAGTTGTTTATAGTTCCGTTATATTGACAAAATTTGGTGAGCAAACCAAACATATATGTAACACTGCCAAAAGTGTCCATCCCTCCAAACGTGTCTTATACTGAAAATTGTGTCTATTTTGTTGAAACGTGTCCTTAAAATCCCAAATCACCTAAAAGTGTCTGATTTCACATCCCCAAAGGTGTTTGATAATTGTTTTTTGCCACGTGTCCACTTTAAAATGCCAGAATGTCTCAAAACTTTAAGCGCTAATATGTGCTCAGTGATGTCAATAACGTTTATGGCAATTCAATGTTGGGGGACACGATTGAAGAAGTCGGGTTTTGGCTACAGGATTCTAAAAAAAATCAAAGCCGCTATATTAAATGTTATCTTGAGGAAAGGTGAGGTGATGCAAATAGACAAATGTCAAAGATATGGTACACTAGCTACAATAAAAGATGAGATCACTGACTTCTGCTTTTTAATAAACAGACACCAGATAAGAAAAAGAATGGCACAAAAAAGTTTTATTTTTACTTGCAGAGGTTTTATCATTATTTTATATCAATATGATTATTATTGTTTTAAATTGTAAATGGAGGTACTTCACATTTATTATATCAAAAATGTTTTCCCAGTGCTTCAACTATTGATTAAGTGGTCATTTATTAGCACAAGTTTGTTCAATGCTGGTTGTTAATATTAAGCATGATTGTAAGTTAATTTGCAACACAGATATTAACTCTTGACTGCTGATTGCTTAATATATAGAAATACATAGAAATTGCAATTTATTAGTTTTGTACAGTTATATTCATCTTTTACTAAGTGATTCTTTTGTACTAATATACTCTGGTGATGCCTAGCTACCTTATGAAGGTATCCCACAGCCTGCTTCCAACAAAAGTGGTGTCTGGGCTTTTAAAGAGTTACTGTCCCATTTTTACAACAATAAAAACTAAGGTTCCTGTAATAATATCGAGATTGGATTTGTATTTAAAAACACATTAAATAAAATGCTCTGCTGGGGCGCAGTTTGATACGACCGCAGAGGTCGAAACCCTGAACAGTTAGGGCAAGTATGGACACAACATTCAAGCTTGATACAGCACTGAATTTGGATTGTAATTAAATATTTGACACAGCATAGGTTTCTGACACAGAATGAAAGTGGTCTAAGAACTTAAAAATTTTTAATTTACCTATTCAAACCATATCATTATTATTTGCTTTTATATATAAATCAGAAATAACCAATTTAAAATTGAAAATTTTAAAGAAAAAAAACAGAAAAAAAAATCCCCCCCCCCAAATTTTTTGAACCCCCTTATGAGTCATCACCCCCAAACTCAATCCCAGCCTTCCCTTTGTGGTATGGTACCTTGCAGTACAATTTCAGAGAGATCCAAACACTTGAACACAAGTTATTGTCTGGAAACTAGAAAAATGCTTGTTTTTTGGCCCCTTTTTGGCCCCAAATTCCTAAACGTTTATGGCAATTACCCCCAAACTCAAACCCAGCTTTCCCTTTGTGATATGGAACCTTGCAGTACAATTTCATAAAGATCCATACACTTACACACAAGTTATTGTCCTGAAACTAGAAAAATGTTTGTTTTTTTGCCCTTTTTTGGCCCCTAATTCCTAAAATTTTGAGGGAATTACCCCCAAAATCAATCCCAGCCTTCCCTTTGTGGTATGGTACCTTGTAGTACAATTTCAGAGAGATCCATACACTTGAACACAAGTTATTTTCTGGAAACTAGAAAAATGCTTCTTTTTGGCCCCTTATTCCTAAACTTTTGGGGCAATTACCCCCAAACTAAAACCCAGCTTTCCCTTTGTGATATGGAACCTTGTAGTGCAATTTCATAAAGATCCATTCACTTACACACAAGTTATTGTCATGAAACTAGAAAAATGCTTGTTTTTTGCCCCTTTTTGGCCCCTTCTTCCTAAAATGTGGAGGCAATTACCCCCAAAATCAATCCCAGCATTCCCTTTGTGATATGGAACCTTGTGATACAATGTCAGAGAGATCCATACACTTACACACAAGTTATTGTCATGAAACTAGAAAAATGCTTGTTTTTTGCCCCTTTTTGGCCCCTAATTCCTAAAATTTGGAGGCACTTACCCCCAAAATCAATCCCAGCATTCCCTTTGTGATATGGAACCTTGTGGTACAATGTCAGAGAGATCCATACACTTACACACAAGTTATGTCTGGAAGTTACAAAAATGCTTATTTTTGGCCCCTTTTGGGCCCCTAATTCCTTAACTGTTGGTACCATAACCCCCAAAATCAATCCCCACCTTCCTTTTGTGGTATTGAACCTTATGGTAAAATTTCATAGAGATCCATTCACTTAAACTAAAGTTAGAGTGCGAAAACTAATGTGTCTTCAGACGACGACGACGGAAGCCAACGTCATACCAATATACGATCACAAAAATTTTTTGGCGGTCGTATAAAAATTACTTGATATTTAGAAGAAAATAAAAATTTTGCAATTTTTCCATTTATAAAGGGGCATAACTCAAGAACGGTTAAAGTGACACCACCAAAATTCAAACTTGATCTGTGTTTTGTGGTAATAAGCATTGTGTATAAGTTTCATAACATTTGGTTGAGGCAAACTTTAGTTAGAGAACGGAAACTAAAAATTTGGCAATTTTTCCATTTATAAAAGGGGCATAACTCTAGAATGGTTAAAGTGGCGCCACCAAAATTCAAACTTGATCTGTGTTTTGTAGTAATAAGCATTGTGTATAAGTTTCATAACATTTGGTTGAGGCAAACTTAAGTTAGAGAACAGAAACTAAAAATTTTGCAATTTTTCCATTTATAAAGGGGCATAACTCTAGAACGGTTACCTTAATGGAGACCAATTTGAAAAAGGAACCAAAAATTAAGAATCTAAATACTCGGTTAGATTCGGCATATCAAAGAACCCCAATAATTCAATTTTTGATGAAATCAAACAAAGTTTAATTTTGGACCCTTTGGACCTCAATGTGAACCAATTTAAAAACGGGGCCCAAAATCCAAAAACTTAATACACTGTTAGATTCAGCATATTAAAGAACCCCAAGAATTCAAGAATAAAACCCCATTGAAATTGGTCAAGAAATAAGCAATTTATAGGAAGTATCTTCTTTTGCACAATACTGTGCAATTGAATATTTCTTGCTATTGCGCAATACTGTGCAATTGAAGATTTCTTGCTATTGCGCAATACTGTGCAATTGAAGATTTCTTGCTATTCTGCAATACTGTGCAATTGAAAATTTCTTGCTATTGCACAATACTTATTATATAATAATTTACACATCCTGTTTGGTGTGTATCTCCTACCATATCATTATTATTTGCTTTTAAATATAAATCAGAAATAACCAACTTAAAATGGAAAATTTTAAAAGAAAAAAAAGAAAAAAAAGGAAAAAAAAAAAATCCTCCCCCAAATTTTTTGAACCCCCTTATGATTCATCACCCCCAAACTCAATCCCAGCCTTCCCTTTGTGGTATGGCACCTTGCAGTACAATTTCAGAGAGATCCATACACTTGAACACAAGTTATTGTCTTGAAACTAGAAAAATGCTTGTTTTTAGGCCCCTTTTTGGCCCCAAATTCCTAAACGTTTTGGGCAATTACCCCCAAACTCAAATCCAGCTTTCCTCGTGATATGGAACCTTGTAGTACAATTTCATAAAGATCCATACACTTACACACAAGTTATTGTCCTTAAACTAGAAAAATGCTTGTTTTTTTCCCCTTTTTGGCCCCTAATTCCTAAAATTTTGAGGCAATTACCCCCAAAATCAATCCCAGCCTTCCCTTTGTGGTATGGTACCTTGCAGTACAATTTCAGAGAGATCCATACACTTGAACACAAGTAATTGTCTGGAAACTAGAAAAATGCTATTTTTGGCCCCATTTTGGCCCCTTATTCCTAAACATTTTGGGCAATTACCCCCAAACTCAATTCCAGCTTTCCCTTTGTGATATGGAACCTTGTAGTTTAATTTCATAAAGATCCATACACTTACACACAAGTTATTGTCATGAAACTAGAAAAATGCTTGTTTTTTGCCCCTTTTTTGGCCCCTAATTCCTAATATTTTGAGGCAATTACCCCCAAAATCAATCCCAGCATTCCCTTTGTGATATGGAACCTTGTGGTACAATGTCAGAAAGATCCATACACTAACACACAAGTTATGTCTGGAAGTTACAAAAATGCTTATTTTTGGCCCCTAATTCCTTAACTGTTGGTACCATAACCCCCAAAATCAATCCCAACCTTCCTTTTGTGGTATTGAACCTTATGGTAAAATTTCATGGAGATCCATTCACTTAAACTAAAGTTAGAGTGCGAAAACCAATGTGTCTTCGGACGACGACGCCGACGACAGCGACGCCAACGTCATACCAATATACGACCAAAAAATTTTTTATTTTTGCGGTCGTATAATTAAGAATCACTACTTAATAACAGTAACGTTTGTGTGTTTTTAAAATATGGACATGATTGAGCATTCATAAAAGATAGGAGTTCTGGCCTCATATGGACACGTTTGGGCGTTTCTTTTTTAAGTGCACATGATTGGGCGTTCATAAAAACGACATGCCTTGGAGCTCATTAGCATCTAGTTGCAGTTCAGTAACGTCATATGGACACATTTGTGGAGAATTGGACACGTTCAGGGGGATGGACACGTTTCTGGGTGTTACATAGGTTATTGTGACAATAATTTGGATCTAGAATATATCACATCACAGATATTCAACACAACTAACTAAAATATTCAAACAAACATACAAATAAATCTAAAAAAAGACGCCAACAAAAAAGTTGTAGTTGATAGTAAATTTGACAATGACGTCAACAAGAAAGTTTTTTTAAATGATAGTACATACCATATATAATAATAACTCTGACAATGACATCAACAATATCATCATTAGGCATATATAGTTTTATAAGCTCACATCATAAAGAACATGTGTACTAAGTTTTTGGGTTAACGTGACAATACCTTTATAGTAAACTACCTTTACTAAAAACTTAATCCTGAAGTGGGACAGACTAATGGACAGAGTGATGGACAGATGGACCGACAGAAGCATAGACCTTTTCATAACACAAATGTACAACTTCAATATGTGTGCAATACATCTGTGCAGTTCCAAGGATCTGGTTTGAAAACTAGTAGAAGTTCAAAGTTCATAACACAAAAAAGGTATTGTCTTTTGTAAATTTTGATGAAAAATTACTTACCAAATCAAATTTGTAAAACAAATTCATAATACCAGGTGCAAAAGACATGTGCAATCTATCTCAAAGCAGTGTCGGGTTGAAAACTGTGGGAGAAGTTGATAGCATAAAACTGGGACCATGTTATGTAAATTATGCTGTAAAAAATTTTACAGTATGGTAAGATAGGGGTGAAATTACTCAAGGTTGAATTTGGTAAATACAGCTGACTCACAAACCCAGCCTCTTTTGCTTTCAATTTGATATCAGAGTAGTTTAATGCAGGGTCTAGGCATTTCATATCAGAAAACATGCACATAGGGCAGACTGGCAATTATTAAAGTCTTGTTTTCAAATTCTAAAAAAATTGAAACAAAGGAAGGGGGGGGGGGCAAATGTACTGTTAAAGATAGAGTATATTCAGTGATTTCTTTTAGGCTATGGTTCTGATAAATAAGTATTGTTGTTATAAAAAGTGTTTTTACAGATTTTTCTATTTGAATAAATGTTAGTATAGGTTGCCCTTTGTAAATACAGCTGATTTACAAACCACACCTCTTTTGGGGAGATATTTAATATTCATAGATGTTTTGTTTTGTTTACCCACTGGTTCCCAGATATGATCTCCATGTTTCATTTCACAGAGACAAAACTTGGGAATTTTTACCAGTATAAAAACAGTTGGATAGTAGACAAAATGAATACTCAGGAAGACTCAAAGTGAAGGGAGTGGTAGTAAAAAATTTTAGTGTAAGTTTAAAGTCTTAAAAGTTCGAGGCATATAAATGTTGAAAATATGCCACACAACACTATGTTTCGACCTTCGCAAAAAAAGTAGTGCATGTGAGCTTTCCATTCTAGAATATAATTTTTTACAAAACTTCATAGTAAAATATGGATATTGCATTGTCTATATCTACAGAAGTGCAACCTCAAACAATTCCATAATAGCTTGTGCACAACTTCAACATGTGTGCAATCTTTCTGTGAAGTTTTAATGATGTTGGTTGATAGCTGTAAGATGAGTTGATTAGAAAAAATAGATACCCCTTTTTCTTCTACCGTATACCCGACACCCCTATCAACATCACCATACTATAAGCTGGCTTTGAACTTTGTCCAACCTTGCCAAAATGCAATAATAAATATCTTTACTTGTGATAAAAAAAGTAGAAATTTCAAAATACTTTAATCACTGTGTTAAAAGTTTTTTGTAATAAAGATATATTAATCATTGAAATCTGAGACATCACAGCAAGCCTGTGCACACCAAACAAACTGAAACATCTTATAAGGAGCCATAGAACTTCACCATCATGGAAAGAAAAATAAAAGAACGGAATTTCAATGTCCCCTGCATTGCACATAATTCATCTATCCAAGGGCAATAACCAAAAAATACTTCTTTTTTTGTTGTTCTTTAAAACTTTTAACAAATATCTTAGAGAAATGAAGGCTTGAGAGCAAATACAATGCAATTTCCAATATAAATCAATATTTCCAAGGGGCATAACTCTTTTAAATGTAATTGATTGGCTTGTACAAGTGAGAGAGTTAACGAGACTGGATGGACAGACAGATGGACACCCGGTATTTCTTTGTCCTCTGCAACGCGTCACGCAGGGGACAATAAACCACATACATTAACTTATAAATTAAAAGCTAATTTTAAAAAATCTAACTAACTACTGCATGCATTGTCCCTGTAAACGATAAATGCCAACACCTTACCTTTTTAAACTTGAAGGTCATTTCTTTGTTACCAAATGCTCCTGTTGCACCGACTACTGTTGTATCTTCTGCTTTTTCCAATCTTTCTGCTAAAGTTTGTCTACAACAACAAAATGACTAATTTATTAAGATGTACTTGTATCGAACTCAAAGGGAATAAACATAAAAATATATATATGGTTTAATATGACCAGTATAACAGTACTTTGATTTGCCTTATTATAAAGTTTGTGTATGTGTCAGCTCAACAAAGCAGAGATGTTTACAAACTTATCATGATATGAGAGAAGTTATTTGTTTTGAAGTCTTTATCATTCCAAACATCACCAGATTCTAAGACATAAATAAGATCAGTAATACTTACTTCAATTCCTTTTTCCTGTTTTTGTCCTCAAGAGATTTAAAAGATTGTCCTTCTTTTATTTCATAAAACTTTAATCTCTTCTCTCGTTCCCTATCTCTGTCTTCTTGACGTAACAATTTATGTTGTTTTTTAACTTCCTGCGTCCATGTATGTTCGTCATCAGAACTACTATCATCGTAACTGTCATGGTCGTCTTCTTTCTGTCAAAATATTACTTATAAACAAATCTATTTTATTTTTAAAAATTAACCTGTGATAATACAAACGTCACAAAAAATACATCACTTTTTGTGACGTTGATCCATTCATGTGACATTCAGTTTATATTTCGTTTGTGGTGTCCTGGTGTGCTGTCGTAAATTCATAGGAGGTGTCCGTTGTTATTCTGTTCTGCGGTTTACACTTTGTAATGTACTATTATATTATTTATTTATGTATTTCTCTGTGCTGAGTGTTCCTGCATTTGATTGTACTGTCACGTAGTGTTGTCATTTTTGCGGTATTTTTAACATTGCCATATAAGCGGGAGGTTTGGCTAGCCATAAAACCAGGTTCAACCCACCATTTTTTCTTAAAATGTCCTGTACCAAGTCAGGAATATGGCAGTTGTTATCAGACAGTCCGTTTCTATGTATGTTGGCGTTGTAGTTCAGTGTTTCTGTTGTTCCATTGTTTTACTCTTATAGTTGATGTGTTTCCCTCAGTTTTAGTTTGTTACCCGGATATGTTTTTGCTGAATCAAATTATGACTATTGAACAGCAGTATACCACTGTTGCCTTTATACTACCATCAAGTTTTTCTTCAATCTATCAAATCCTTTCATTTAGATATAACTTTAATGTACATTTTGTAAGACTCAATGAAAAAAGTAAAATAACAAATATAACTCTAAGGAAAATTCAAAACAGAAAGTCCCTTATCTAATGGCAAAAACAAAACCTCAAACACATCAAACGAATGGAAAACAACTGTCATATTCCTGACTTGGTACAGGCATTGTCTTATGTAGAAAATGGTGGATCAAACCTGGTTTTATGGCTAGCTAAACCTCTCACTTGTATGACAGTCACATAGAATTCCATTATATTGACAACAATGTGTGAGCAAAACAAAAAGACATAATAGGTAAATAATCTCAAAAATTGGGGTACAGCAGTCAACATTGTGTTATAATCTAAATCACTATAAAAACAAACAACTATGTCAACAAAGAAAAACACAATGGCATATAGACACTCTATAAACACAGCTAATAAGCAAAAATGAAAGACAAGAATACAATAAACTGTTAACACAGAGATATGTCTCGCCTTCTTGTTATTTTGATAACGCTAATGTTGAAATTAAAATAGCAATACTTTAACATGTAAGTTATGCAAATATTCAAAGTCAATAAACCATGACTGAAGGTACAGGGCTAAACAATCTCCATAGAAATGAGAAGTGCCAATGCTAATACAACTGCATACTAAATTCCATTGACTTTTCATAAGTCGTCCCCTTTAAACAAACCTAAACACAAACATAAACACAAACATTAACTTGTAAACTATGTAAAAGTTTCAAAGTCAATGAACCATAATGAGGCGGTGGGGTAATATAATTTCCATGGAAATGAAACTTGCAAATGCCAATACATTTGCATACCAAATATCATTGACTTAACAAACTAATACATGAAAACTAAGCAAAAGTTTCAAAGTCTATAGACTATGACTGAGGGGGTTGGGCCAAATATTCTCCATGGAAATGAGAAATGCCAATGCTTATACAACTGCATACCAAATATCATTGACCTACCAATACTGGTTCCCCATAAACTGACCTAATCACAAACTAATACATATAAACTAAGCAAAGTTTCAAAGTCAATAGACTATGACTGAGGGAGCAGGGCCAAATAATCTCCATGGTAATGAGATGTGCCAATGCTAATACCACTGCATACCAAATATCACTGACCTACCAATACTGGTTCACCATAAACTAGACCTAATCACAAACTAAACTAAGAGAAAACGTAACTTAAAGTCACACTAGTAGAACTGAGTAAAACAATCAATGCCAACTCATATTCAAAGTATTTAAATAAAAATTACGACTTAAATTTATAATAGACTGTCACAATAACCTTACCTCAATTTCATCAAACTGTTGTTCTATAACAGCCTTCTTTTTCTTAGATTTGTCAAGTTTTGACACAACTGGATTTAACAATCTGAATTCCTCACTTGTAGTGTCTATATGGAAATCAGTATCCTTAAACATGGCAGAGAAACGACTATCTTCCATGATGTCTGGAGTTTTCTGTACAAAGTAAAACAATAAAACATTGTCATATCGTGCCACTCATTCAATTCTTGAAACACAGACACATCTCCAACTTCAATAATGAATAATTAAGATGATTTTTTTTGACAGAATGAAGTCCTTGCATCTATCATGGCTAATAAATTGTTTCATGTACCCACATTTGATGTACCTATTAATAAATAAAAATGATTGAATAAAATTGTTTTAAGAGTGAAAAAAAAAGTTGCAGGTCAAGTTAATTACACTTGTGAGAAAGGAGAAGGTACTGTATTTAGTAGCTTAAATTTAAAAGCTAAGAAACCTTTACAAAAATCTGTTAATTTCATTTTCATATGAATATGGTTATATATTCTGGCTTTTGAGACAATTTCATTGTAAGCATGTGATATGTTACGTTTGACATCCAAACCTTGTCAGAAAAAATCAATTTAAATTAAAAATTCATAAACAACAAGATGTACGATGAGCAATATACTCTGCTCAATGGTTTAGGCAAACAAGAGGCAGAACAATGAAGATATTGAAGCACCTTATGGTAAATGATCTATATAAAAATAAGGATATCACTTGTAAGTGCTGAGAGAAAAAAGTGATGATAGTTTGACATGTAAGTTTTCAGTAAATAGAAAGTAAAACATTGAGGATTTCAAATGTTTCATAGATATAAGAAGATGTGGTATGAGTGCCAATGAGACAACTCTCCATCCAAGTCAAAATTTATAAAAGTAAACCATTATAGGTCACAGTACGGTCTTCAACACGGAGCCTTGGCTCACACCGAACAGTAAGCTATAAGGGCCCCAAAAAATTACTAGTGTAAAACCATTCAAACGGGAAAACCAACGGTCTAATCTATATAAAAAACAAGAAACGAGAAACACTTATGAACCACATCAACAAACGACAACTACTGAACATCAGATTCCTGACTTAGGACAGGTGCAAACAAATGCAGCGGGTTTAAACGTTTTAATGGTACCAAACCTTCACCCTTTTTCTGAAACAATAGTGTAACATCACAACATAGAAAGACACACTCACACTGTATGGCATAACTAGATGAATCTTGATGCCATATATCACAAAGTTATGACTTATAGGTGTAGAGTGAAATGTTACAGTAAACAGATAGAGGCAAACCAGTATACCTCCACCTTTTAAGAGGGGGTATAAAGATGTATAAAAATCAAGGACTAGCAACTTCTGCACAAAAATGAAATAATGAATCACATTTTATCATTTAAATATACATCTTTAAAAAGCTAGATGCTCCTATGTTAATGTTGATGATAATAAAAAAAAGTTTTGAAAACAAGGAAACCTTGATTGTTTTACAATTATTCTAACAGTACACCAAGTTTAAAGAAGTTTCATTGATATCTGACAAAATAATGTCTTCAGGAATAGAAACTTTATATTCAAAAATTTATAGGACTTTGAAATGATCTTTTTGTACTGAAAAAAACCTTATAACAGTTCCATGTTAGGAAACCTTACAAAACAAATAATCCAGTTGTGGAATACAACTTAGGCATAACATGTAGTTAACTAACCCGCCTTTCAAAGCAATTCAATATTTCAGTTGTGAGAAAAATACATTAAACTATGGCAGTTAATAGATTCAATCAAAGTTCTTGCACTTATACTTTCGTATAAATGTTCAAATGAGAAAGCAAGAATTTGTTTTCTGTAATGAATTCTCTTTTACCAAAACACATGAATTAGTTTACAAGAAATTGAACATGTTGAAGATCTGAAATGTTAAAGGGTAAGATTTAATTATTTGTACAAGGCTAAGAAACAGGTGTAATTCAAGCTTCATCGAGCTATTAATCCTGTATAGATCCGAGTACAAATACAGCTGATATTTAGAGACACTGAACAGTTATTGTCTTTATCCTGCAATTAATTTTGTACATTTTTTTTCCATCCAAATCGTTGAATTTGTTTTTGAAAGAAATCGACATGACTTAAACGTGGACCGCAATGAGGACCCCAAACTGAACTGTGACGTAAACAGTAATTTCACATAACCGTTCGCTCGCAACAGAAGCAGGATACCAGGAGACTATATACGTCTAGTATACGTATATCGCTTCTTGTTATCTGTACACCTGTATTAGTATAGTAGAAAGGTCAATTGCAGGATAAAAACAGATAAATGTATAAGGAATGTAATGAAGCATGTAACCTATTGTTAGTGGGTGTATTGTGTCTTTAATATGACATGAGCTAATAAACTCCACATCACAAATTAAGTTAGTTTAATGAAAATAGATCCAAAAAATATATTTTCTTTTTTTCCTTCCTGTAACCTTTAATCAATTCAATAATCATATATGCAGACAATATATACAACAGATCACCACTTAAATATCTCAATGTAAATATAAGGGATCAGATTTGCACAATTTGCATGTTTTGATCTTCATCGCATCAAATGACTAAAAGCTTCTATCTAACTAGATATTTATTGGCATTTGAATAGATCTCTAATAAATTATATATCTTTTGGCATTTTATTTTTTCAATAATAAATTGTCTTTTACAGAAAATGATAATACAACATTTATAGAAGGAGTTAATAATACATTATTCTCATCCATTTATTCAAAACTTCAGGAAATAAAAGTCATTAAAATTTCATTTTATTCTATAAAATCACATTGTACACAGGTTTTAATGTCATGAATTTCAAATTTTAGGATAGGATGAGAATGACATCTGAATTGTATTCCCTCAATTAGAATATCTGTAACCTTTACAGCAAAATGACATGAAACTATTACCTTGTGCAAGTTAACATTGAATGGTGAGCTTTATGTTGTACCATATACAAATAAAATATGTAAATTTTCATTGATGATTCTTTTTTGTAGACCAAATTTGGTCACCAGTTATTGTGGATTTTGTGGGTATAGGTTACCTTGCATTTAATGGTCAAATAAGTACAGATTGTCCATAGGCTTGACTGCAGAATTTGGCAACTCCACAAAATTAAATATCCAGCAAAAAAAAATCATCCTCATCCCACCAAAATATACATGAACTCTTATTATTAACCAACAGTTCTTTTGCAGGTTATTCAAATGTCGAAAGTCTTTTTTAAATGATTGTAAACATAACTTGATAAGTTCTGTCATTGTAGGATAGTTATTCAATAATTTTATCTACTTCCTTGTAACACAGTCGCTGGAAGTGATATGATTTCTCCGTCACATAAATATCAATGTTATTATCCCTATAAAGCCATATTGAACAACTGACTCAAGACATTATCTCTACTTTTCCAGTTGGATAAGGTCATCATGTAACAGATATTTATATGAAATATTAGCAACTGAATGTAAGGCAGATGTTTGAATTTTTATATTAACTTATCAAAATTAGCAATTGTAAATCAAAATTTGTTTGCTTACAAATAGTGATGCTTGTACAATAGGCCCAGTATGACATATTATTAGTAAATAAATTCTTTGGATTCTTTTATTTTCTTAAGTACTGATTTTTGTGGCAAGAGGCAAATTATATTAACAGATATTTGATTTTATGGTTGAAGAATAATTTGCATACAAGCCTACAGAAAATTTATATTTTGTTAATAATTTAACCTTTACATATGAAATCAATAAAAATTAGTTTCCCAGGAATAATATGAATTCAATAATAATATAGCTCAGAATGTATATATATTTTTAGCTTACAAATAACAATGCTTTATGAGCATTTGTCTGATTTTGCCATTAAAAACAGTCTATGGCTTACAGTCAACTATGATATTAAATAAAAACATCATTGGATCTAAGGAACTAGTACGTATTAAAATGTTAATAAACGTGATCTCGGTTGTGATATAACCACCTGGATTAAATGTCCCTTTACTCACTACCTACAAATCATTATGATTTATTTCGGGTTTCATAACCAAATAATTTCTTGATATCTGTCAACATCCTGCAGCCATTAGTCTATTCACCCAGGGAGTTGAATGAGCAGCCATGTATAAATAGTATCATAACATGACAGATTGTCTACCAAAGGCATTAACCTCAGCTGTCAGGTTTTAACTTTTTCCACGACTGATAATCACATTTCAGCTTTCATTGGCCATACCAGAAACGTTATTTACCTTGGATTTAACCAAAGTTGTCAACCTAATTTTAAAACTTCCGTTTAATCCAATGAAAAAGAACAAAAGCACAAAAGACAAATCTATATCTTGAGCTTCACTTATGTAATTTGTAAATCCACTGGGATCTGCTAAAAGTGAAATATGGAAGTAGAAACCAAGTAAAAAATCAGGACAGTTTGACCTTAAAATTTGTGGCAATTATGTATATAATTATAGTTTATAGCTGTTTTTTCCCCCTGGTGCCCCTCTTAAGGAATTTCATCCGCGTGGTCATTCCAGCCTCACTTTGGTACAATGTACAAGACGTCTCAGATTTCAATAATTTGTTACACAATAATGTGCAATCCTCTATAGTTTCTTACTACTTTAAGCAGAATTTATGGAGTAAAATCCTACTTAAAGGGATGACTGTACAGTGTTACATAACAGTGATCAAATCAACTATCTTGTCTATTACAAAGTTTAATAGTCAATCAGATTCACAAAAAGTTCACTTGATTTTTCCTCACTGATTGTCAAAATCACAGTGTCATTAAATACATTCTGTTAAATACTATACTTAAGGATGTACTTAAGTGAAATTAAAAAAATCTAGAATTCAAAATTGATACTATAAGTCAGAAGAACATTAGTTATGGAACAAAATAAGCTTAAAATATTGATAGGTAATGGAGCTCCTTTTCGAGATATTTAAGTTTTAAAAAATGGCGGGAAAAGGCTGACTTAGACTTTTACCTTATGTTTGCATTGGTTTTATTTGGGTCTCAAATCGAAAGAAAAGAAATCTAGAACCTGCTTAAATTTTGGTAAATGACCTTTTATGAGCTAATGAAGTGTTATATGAAAAGTATTATGGGTGTTATGGGGCAAATTATTTTACCCTGTATCGTAGAAAAAATAAAATGCTCCGCTGGGCACAGCTTGATACAACCACAGAGGTCGAACCCTGAACAGTTGGGGCAAGTATGGACACAACATTCAAGCTTGATACAGCACTGAATTTGGATTGTGATTAAATATTTGACACAGCATAGGTTTCTGACACAGAATGAATGTGGTCTAAGAACTTAAAAATTTTTAATTTACCTATTCAAACCATATCATTATTATTTTCTTTTATATATAAATCAGAAATAACCATTTTAAAATGAAAAATTTAAACAAAAAAAAAGGAAAAAAAGGGAAAAAAAATCCCCCCCCCCTCAATTTTTTTAACCCCTTATGATTCATCACCCCCAAACTCAATCCCAGCCTTCCCTTTGTGGTATGGTACCTTGCAGTACAATTTCAGAGAGATCCATACACTTGAACACAAGTTATTGTCTGGAAACTATAAAAATGCTTGTTTTTTGGCCCCTTTTTGGCCCCAAATTCCTAAACGTTTAGGGCAATTACCCCAAACTCAAACCCAGCTTTCCCTTTGTGATATGGAACCTTGTAGTACAATTTCATAAAGATCCATACACTTACACACAAGTTATTGTCCTGAAACTAGAAAAATGCTTGTTTTTTGCCCCTTTTTGGCCCCTAATTCCTAAAATTTTGAGGCAATTACCCCCAAAATCAATTCCAGCCTTCCCTTTTTGGTATGGTACCTTGCAGTACAATTTCAGAGAGATCCATACACTCGAACACAAGTTATTGTCTGGAAACTAGAAAAATGCTTATTTTTGGCCCCTTATTCCTAAACGTTTTGGGCAATTACCCCCAAACTCAATTCAAGCTTTTCCTTTGTGATATGGAACCTTGTAGAATAATTTCAGAAAGATCCATACACTTACACATAAGTTATTATCATGAAAATAGAAAAATGCTTGTTTTTTGCCCCTTTTTTGGCCCCTTATTCCTAAAATTTTGAGGCAATTACCCCCAAAATCAATCCCAGCATTCCCTTTGTGATATGGAATCTTGTGGTACAATGTCAGAGAGATCCATACAGTAACACACAAGTTATGTCTGGAAGTTACAAAAATGCTTATTTTTGGCCCCTTTTTGGCCCCTAATCCCTTAACTGTTGGTACCATAACCCCCAAAATCAATCCCAACCTTCCTTTTGTGGTATTGAACCTTATGGTAAAATTTCATAGAGATCCATTCACTTAAACTAAAGTTAGAGTGTGAAAACCAATGTGTCTTCGGAAGACGACGACGACGATGCCAACGTCATACCAATATACGACCTCAAAATTTTTTTGCGGTCGTATAAAAACCAAGGAGTCCGAACATCTGACAATAATTCCTAAACCTCACCTAAGTACATCCTTAAAACATTTTGTTCATTTATAAGATTATGTCCCTTTAATGTTGCCTTAATCTAGCCTATCAAAATAATATTGTAAAAACTATAATCAAATTAACCTTCATTTTCTTTTTATTTCCAGCAGCGGCCTCTTCTTTAGCTTCCATTAACTTTCTGGCAAAATCTGGATTAACCTTAGGTAACTTCTGTAATACAATAGGAAGAGTATAAGATATAATGGTTGATATTTGTAAATAATACATACAAAACATGCTAATATCAAGCTATCTGATCCTTCGTCTAATTGAAAAATATTTCTTCAATTTAAGGAGAATGGAAATAACATGAAATAACTCAACTGAAGATCAATTGGCTTTATATTAGTTTACTGAAATATTCATCTATAATTTGTAGGTTAAAAGAGTCGTTTCTCACAAGGAACTATCAGATACACTATACACTTCAAATGATCAATATGTCGTAATTCATACTGTTATAGTTTACTCAGAAGGCAGCTTGTTCCATATTTTATAAGTCAAATTGATGTTTGTTTCTTTGAGATATTTTATTGTGTTTGCTTTTTCTTTGAAATATTTTATTGTATTTTAAAGGTCATAGACAACATTTTCAGACATTAATGTTTAAATAATCAATCATTTTGGAAGTTAAAAATTATTCATCCTGTTTTCTATGTAGATCATGTCTACAATCTACAGTGGCATACATTAATTTTGTTTTAAAGGTCTAAAATCGGGGTTAATTTGACCATTTATTTTTTGGTATCTGGGTCCATAGAACTGAGATTTATTTAGATAATTCAATATGAATTCAGGATTATATTTTGGGGTAATTTGCATGATATGGGTATAAATCCAATGTTCAGTTTATAACCATTTGTGAGCACCACTGCAACAAAAAGGTTTATAAAGGCAAAAATGTACTAGATTTACTTGCCATATGCCTAAATGAGAAATCTGTATACATGGAAAAAGTGAACGTGGCCACAAGTTAAATTTCAAAATTGTTCAAAAGGTTTGTTGATTGTTTGAAGAAGTTTTCTGTAAATTTGATGCCACGATTATGAATTCCTATTTTGTATCTGGACATAATTTTTTACTGCATTTTATCTGACTTATAACAAACCTTATTTTTATGAAGTTTATGTTTGTAAATAATCTCTGTCAAAATAACCATTATTACTTTTTTATATTTCATTTGAACTGGGGACATTATTAGCCTTAAACTTAATTTCATATTGACATATAATAGGTTATCAAGAAATAAAATCACATTTCACAGTTGATAACTTATCATAAAAACAATTAAAACCATGACAAAATAAGCAGTATTTGTAAAATTTCTTTACATTATTTGTTTTCTAACAACTTTTGAGTATATTTTGATTGAAAAAGTATGGGCTCAACAAAATCAAAATTACAATTTATATTTGGTGGATAGTAAATAGTTATAAGAAAATATTTTAACATCTTTTTTGCTAATACCAATGTTTCCATTATGGAAAATGATGAATTGAAAACTGCATAAAATACTTGGACATGTTTCATCATTTTCCTTAAATATGCATTACTATGATGTAATTATGACATAATTCTTTGTAAAACCTTGTCTTATTCATTTATATTTTTTAAATAATTTTATGCATTTCCCTATATTGTGAGAAATTTGAAGTATTTTTCAAAAAATCCATTCTTCATGGCCATTTTTTTAATTGCTTTAAAATCCAATCACTAGTTAGAAGTAGTAGTGGATAACAGGTGTGCTTGGACAAACAAACAAAAGGAAAAGGACAAACAGACAGAATGGTCCCTGTACAACCATAAATTCACTTCATATATAGTACTGTAAATTTAGAAATTATTGCGTGCATTTCTTATTGCCATTTTTGAAGAATAGACAAAAATGCCAGATTAATTATTGCGATTTCAAGAAAATCTGCATACAGATATATGTATCAGATATCAGAATGAGCTCTTATTACTGCGATACTCACCCAGTCGCATTTTTCACATTAATAAAAACCTCGCAATAATTTCTGAATTTTCAGTAATGTCTTACATAAAACTCTGAAAATATTAAAAATGTATTGCTATGCTAAAGTCTGAAGATGCAAGGTCATTAAGATGTATTCCAAGATGACAGTTAATCAAAATTAACAGGAGATAGTTCGTTTCATGTTTAATCAACTGTACATGAAAAAAACAGAATATCACATCATGTGACCACAAATCAATTTAAATTAAATTTATCAGCATGGTATTGACAAAATTCTGTTTCATTTCTTGTCTTAGTAAATATTAGGAAACTGATCAATTAATTTTGAAAGCAAGTGTCAATATTACTTGTTATACACCAAGGCCAAAGTATAAGACTGCTTTCTTTTATGTACAATCATTAATTAACTTTATTTAATTTTAAAATAGATTGTCAGCATTCTTCATTTGCCATTACTACAGAAATACAACTTTCCTATTTCAATACAATCCTATTCTTTTTCCCAATGATTGTACATGACATTTCCTACATCAAATTCTCAGATCCTTCCAACAATAACTGATATGCAATATATGCCTTGCACAATATTCACTGTTCGATATCTTAATTAAATTTATCTTACTCAGTACCACTTGTAAACAAGAGGCCTAGTAACTATACATAAATTCCTCAAGTTCCAACAGGGATTAAAATTTTGTCAATTATCAAATTGTGAAGAATTTTTGCATTAAATATTTAACTCACAAAACTTTGGAAAAATAATGACTTAAAATATGTGAATTAAGGTTAAGAAAGCAGACATATGTTTATAATTAAAGTTGGGAACAGAATATGCCATGAAGAAAAAAACCCAGTACTCCCACAAAAGATGAATGGCGTTTGAAATAAATATATCCCAGAATGCATTAGATTCTGAAACAGTGAATTGTGTACAAATTGTAACAACATTTTAACATCACATAAAACCATTTACATCAAACCTACCTTTAGTCGTACTCTGTTCTCTCTCTCTTCCTCAATCTTCTCTCGTATTTTATTCTTTCTATACTTTTCATAAGCAAATGGTTCAGCTATGGACTTGGCTTTATGGTACAATCTCATATCAATGAAGAAGCCATGCATATAGGCCCTCAGTAAGTTAGACCCAATAAGATGTGATAACCCTAAGTCTTCTAACTCTCTCCTCGTTAAGAACTTATAATCATCATACACTGAAACATTCATAAATGTATAGATTCATTTATTTTTTTATTTTTTTTAAATTAGAATATTTGTACCCATGTCCCCGTCAAACTATCGCATTTATGTGTTCAATGAACATAATCTGAATAATGCCTACTTTGGCATATACATAGTTCACATCATAATGAATATGTGTACTAAGTTCCCAGTTGATGTGACCACAACTTATGTTACCACAATTTCATGGTAACATACCTTAACCAAAAACTTTAAACTGAAACAAGAACAAACGAACAGATCAGAAAAGATAATGCCCACTACTATCATTGGCAGGTAATAAGTTCACATGTATTAAGATTTCATCGACACTCTGGTCGACTCAGTAATGAAACAGGCTGAAAATTCCTTCAAATAAAAAACTATATACAATCCTTGTTTAGAAATTGACAACCTTGTCTGTTACAGCAAATTTAGCTAGGACTAAAATAGTCTGAACCACTGAAAAAACAATATATATATTTAAATAAAAATAGTAATAAAAAAATTATAGTTGACATTTGAAGTGATTTTGTTTCAATTGGTAGTGAATTTATTCTACAAACTATAACTTCAAACATTTTGACCATATTATCCTCAAATCTTTGTTAACATTCACAACCTTAATAAATTATTTTCATTTGAACAATTATTAAATTCTATAAGCAAAATTCTGTTGGTTGCATTTCCAAACTGGAAAAAAGGATGCAACACCAATTTCCAACAGCCATTTCCCTTTTTGCTAGTGCTTATTTTTTTTAGCCTGCACTAAAATGTATAAAAATGTGTCAAAATGTGTCTGAAATCAAATGCACTTTAATTATTTAGGTAGTGAAAAATATCGGGATACGAGTATAAACAATTCAATCATTTAAGCAAGAACCAGTACTAATCCTAAATTGTAAATAAATATACAACAAAAGACAAAAGCAATAGGTATATTTCTCACTTGTTGATAGACAAGGAAGGTTAATACACTAAATCTTCCTTCTTATCCTATCAAATCTGACAGATTACTCACCCTGTGTCTCTGAACTCTCCTCTAATTCTTCTGTCAGGTTGTCCAGAAATGAGCACCATTTTGGAGCTGTTCCTATTGACTGTAAAATGTTATATATGAAATATTATTGATACTGACATTTTCAGTAAATTTACTGTTTATGACAAGTTTATTGTTTATGAAGCGTTAAAATCATGAAAGTTACAGAAACACTAGGGTTGGTCTACCCCAGTCATAGTTTGTCTATCCAGATAATCATGAAACACTAGGGTTGGTCTACCCCAGTCATAATTTGCCTAACCAGACTTTTTAGACTATGGCTCTTAACTTTATTGATTTGGCTCTAGAACTGTTTTGATTTGAGTGCTTCTGATGAGTTTTATGCAGGTGAGACCAGACTGATTTGATTGCTTCTGATGAGTCTTATGTAGGCGAGACCAGACTGATTTGAGTGCTTCTGATGAGTCTTATGTAGGTGAGACCAGACTGATTTGATTGCTTCTGATGAGTCTTATGTAGGTGAGACCAGACTGATTTGAGTGCTTCTGATGAGTCTTATGTAGGCGAGACCAGACTGATTTGAGTGCTTCTGATGAGTCTTACGTAGGTGAGACCAGACTACTGAGCATTAGCCTTTTTTAGTAAAGTTTTTTAACAGTAAACATTTTGAAATAAACTGCTTCGCTGAGCGCAGCTGGATACGCCCGCAGAGGTCCAACCCTGAACAGTTGGGGCAAAAATGGACACAATATTCAAGCTTGATACAGGTCTGAATTTGGACTGTATCAAATATTTGACATATTATAGGTTTCTGAATAAATGTAGTCAAAGAACTTGAAATTGGTTATATGAATTGAATTTATATTCAATTAAAGATTTCTTGCTGTTGTGCAATACACTGTGCTGTTGCGCAATACTTAGTAAATCTGTTGTCAGACTATAAACAATTAAAGTTCAATTAATTGTCAATGTCATATTAGAAATTTATGAAAATGTAAAGGGAGCTTACATCAATAGATATAAACAATTCACCAAAGTTTCATGAGAATTGCTGACAGTATTTTTGAGTTATTGTCTGAAAACTGGAAAATCCCCCCTTTTCTAATGAATGAAAACCCCATAACTCAGTTATAAAATTCTAAAAGGAGCTTACATCAATAGATATAAACAATTCACCAAAGTTTCATAAGAACTGCTGAAAGCATTTCTGATTTTTTGTCTGAAAACTGGAAAATCCCCCTTTTTTATGAATAAAACCCTGTAACTCTGAAACGTAAAATCTAGAATATATAAAAATCAAAAGGGAGCTCATGTCAATAGATATAAACAATTCACCACAATTTCTTGCAAGTTGGTGAAAGCATTCTTGAGTTATTGTCCGAAAACTGGAAAATCCCCCTTTTTTTGATGAATAAAACCCCATAACTCGGAAACGTAAAATCTAAAATTTATTAAAAAATGAAAGGGAGCTCACGTCAATAGATATAAACAATTCACCAAAGTTTTATGCAAATTGGTTAAAGCGTATTTGAGTTAATGTTCGACATGTTGATGACGGACGGACGGACAGACGGACAATGGTATACCTTAATACGTCCCGTAAACGGGCGTATAAAAAAGAATTGAGTTAATACACAACCTGTATATCAACTTTATTTCAACTTTCAATCTTAAAATCAAATTCCATTTCTATCCCTCCCTCCCTTCATATAGCTCTCTACCCCCCATTGAGAAGATACTTACAGGTATATAATAAGTTAAAACTTTTGGTGCCTCAGTTGCCATGAACAGAAGTCCTGAGCCTGGAACTACACATAAGTCATTGAGATCTGTACCTGGTTCAATAGCTGTGTAAGCCTTACCCTGTCAAAATACATGTGTTAGTACTACAAATAAATGTATATTATAAGGAAGCTTCTGATGTAGATTACGTTCTGTAGCCATAATAATGTACTCCCTTTCTTGTTAATGACTCATCACTATATATAACTAATTACAGTATTTTTGGGCGCATTACATTTGCACAATTTTGGGGGTTAATACTTTTTATGTTTGCGTACAGATTTTGATTACATTTGCACGCATTCATTTTACAGGTAAAACAGGAAAATGTAAAGATCATTTAAAATAAATATGTCGAAAGTTATTAATTTTGAACATTTTCATAATTTAAAATCATATATTTTTCATATTTTTTCTAAAAATAATATATTAAGTGATTATCAATGTATTTTGCCTTTCTTGACATTATTTTAAGTTTCAAAACCACTACATATATCAAACTAAAAGGGCTTGAAACATCAGCAGAAGTGAGAAAGAAAAAACTGAGAATCTGATGAAGCAATTCCAATAATACCAGATTAGACTGGGAGAACTTGAATGAATTTATTCTCTTGAAACAGTTGGCTCCAAATATTCAGCACGTACCTACAGGTATAATGGGTACTATTACTCTTTGGATTTGCTATGGTTTTACAATTTTACTATGATCTGTATATATTTTCAGGACTTGGTGCTTGTGCATAATAAAACGAACTTATGTAATCAAAAGCTGTGAGCAAACATAACGATTTGTGTGCGCAATTGTAATGCACAAGTATTTTTCCCTCTCTTGATTAGTGTACAGAAGGCAGCAGTCAAATCACATTTAGTTTACCTTTAGTTTTTGGATGGAGTGCATGTTACCTACAGTTTCTGTATAATAGTTCATGGTTTGGGGATTTTTTTCACATTTTTTTCTATTTAGCCATAGTGTTGTCTTTCCTATAATTTTTTTATCGCCCACTTTGTGTCTTTTTAAGTTATATATGATTAAAAGTAATCTATCAAAAGAATGACTGAACGAATGAAAATGAAAATGATTGGAACATACTGAACTTGATAAAGACAGTTACCTCATGAGTATGTCAGGTAAAAACAAGCTTTACTTGCTTTAAGTCTCATTCTATAGATTTTTTTTCAGTAATGAATCCATGTTTACTACAGTTGTTACTCACAGTAGCTTTTTATAAGTACTAATTTAAAACAGTATTTCTACAAAAACATGAATTTTAATCATAATAACTGCTTCTTAATGTCATTATCATCATCATTTCTTTCTCTTGACCATATATTAAGTTGGCCAAATTTTCTAGATTTAAAAACAGTTTTTAAGGGATTTTTTTCTTGTTCTTCATCACCTTCCTCCTTTATTTCTTTTTCATTTTCAGCAAGTTCTAATCACTGTTTAATTTCAGAAGAACTTTGCTTGTCTTTTTTTTATTTTCAAATGTATTTTCTGTTTTGGCACGTTTAGAACATGTAAACTGTCCATTTGAACAAGCATTTGATTGTATATCTGCTTTTGTCTCAGTTATCTCCCTTCTCTTTGTTTCTTTGAGATATTGAAAAAAGCAAACAAACAAAAACAAAGGAAAACAGATAACCAAAAAGTCAGTTTTGACATTTGGAATCAGCGTGTCAATTTCACAAAAGGAATTTGATCCATATACAACAAAATCATTAACCAATTCATTTGAAACCAAAGCTAAAGATGTGTTTGCTTGCCTACTGACATTAGAAGATACAGTATTTGAAAAAGGGAGAAAAGACAGTTCAGATGAATCAGATCTTTTAAAATATGAACCATCCAAGGAAGAAGTAGAGACTATAAAACCTGCATTCAAGAAACCTAGACTCATTGGAAGTGGACAAACAAGGGGTTCATATTCGAAAAGACCATTCAAGCATGATTGTCCAATGCCACATTTCAATGATAGACCATCATAATGACAGAAGTATTCACTAGAAGATGTTGATGTGATGAATGATTCTAGCAATAAACAGAAAGCTTATGCTTTCCTTGAAGAAAGGAGGAAACATAGAGAAGTATTCTATAGATTCATTGGAGAAGGTTCAATAGATCTGTTAGCCATTATGTGTACTGTATTAGTTTCACTATAAAAAAGTATCTTAGAATTTAACCTCTGGTCAAGGTTATGACTCATCCTTAAATGGGATGAATCTATGGTGTGAAGTATGACATTAGTCTGAAGATAAGGCCAAGTCACCATCTTAATACAGTTGTTTAAGCTATAGCATTGATCTTACTATATCTTACCAGGGGAAACAACTGTGTATAAGAAATACTTGAATTCAGGCAGACACTATGCATGTAGTTATCCTCAAATAGTGATAAATAGAATGGATAGAGAGACAATTATTAATTTAGTTAAATACAAACATTTGTCATGTTTGCCTGTTAAAGTATTCATATTATACAATAAAGTTACTTAGAGGAAATACTTATCCCATCAACTTACATTATTTCTGTTCCAAAGTTTGAGTATTTTTGAATCCATGGACATAACCAGGTCAAGAGAATCATGGAATTCTATGGATTTGATTGGCAGTTCATATTGATGATCCTTTATCAGGACAGGCTTATCAGATCTCAAGTCATATAATAACACCTGAAATATATAAAGTATAACAAACAACCTCTACTCCTCTTGTACATTTTTACCTTTACCTTTTACCTTCATCGGTATTACTTATCAGATCTTTAGTCATATAACAATACCCGAAACAAGAATACACACATTGTTGTTCTAAGCCCCACTCATAATTCAAAGTATCGGAAAACAGGAAGTAGGTGTCTAACATATCCAAAAGAGTAGTCACAAATATCAACTTATCATTGCCAAGATGCTGACTAAATATTAAATCAATATGTTCATTAGTACTTAGGAAAAATGTTACAAAAATTTGTATTTGGATTTGGAGTTCATTCAATATATTGACAGATCAAAAAGTATTTACAGGTTACAACTTATCCCTATCAAGCAACATACCAAATATGTAGTCATACCAGAAGTACCAGAGAAAAGTGTGACAGAATCATTTCTTGGATTAAAGGATGGACAAACAAAATCTAACCTTGGACTGTTGGGCCAGGTGATCTAAAAATTATCTAAAGAGCATACAATACATTAACAGGGGCAGATAATAACTCATCCAAGTTTATCAGGTTGTATCAGTGCCATTGCTCAAAATATGCAACAAAATTTACAAGGAAACACACAGACTTTCTCAAACCAGCTGGGTGAATTTGAAAGTAATCTCAAAGGAAAACAGTATGCTTTTTATGGAAACACTTTAAATTTGCTGTGGGATATAAAGATTGAATATGATATACAATTACTTTCTATCACCAAAATAAATCTGATAGATGTCAGATATTAGTATAAAGTTGTGGTATACGACAGGAATACTTTCACAACGATGTTGCATTAAAAATACATGGTGACATTTTGGTTAAAAAAAAACAGACATGCTATCTAAAGCACTTAAAAATTATGTTTTCTATTTTTCTTCAAAACTTTAGTATTAACAAGAAAGCTGTCTGTAGCTTTCTGTCATAGATAGTTGCATAATTTCACAACAATTTTATCTTGTTTTACTTGGTAACTACATGAAATGCCTATCAACTAAGGAAGATTCTACAAAAATCTGGGTTTAACTATCTCTATTTATTTAAGAGTTTTGCTAAATTTTTCGGTAAAGTATTGAAATATGAAAATTTGTGTTTTTACCTCAAACTGGCCAAAATCCATCAGAAAAATCTTGAAAAGTAAGTCATGGAGGTATGTTTTTCATTGCATAATTAATATCTAGGTCAACTATAATTTTGATATTAAGAGCTGTACTTACATGTCCAGTACTGGTACCAACAGCCATAGTCAAAGCATCTCTGAACTTCAAAGCTGTTACTGTAGGCACTACTGACACACTGTAATATTATATGTAATCTTAAGCTTAGGAATAACATGTAAATAATCCTTATATGATTTGCTTATCTACAAGAACTGGAATGGGATTGGTCCTTTAGAATTTTTTCCTTTGGTTTACACTTCAATAGACCAGATACTATTTCATGAATGATCTTGGGGCAGAAATGTCATGGCAAGACATGATAACATACGAATGAAAACTCTCAAGCTGAAGGTTATTCTGTTACTGAAATGCTTCAAATAATATCTCATTAAAATCCAGTTTTTGAGGTAAGGGTTGTTTAATTTTGGATTCTTTTTCATTAATCAAACATTCATGGAGTCTAAAAGTCATCATGGCAGCTCACTCTTCAGTAACAACATGTTGATTTGATGGTAAATAGAAGTTAATGAAAAAAATTGTTAATTAAAAATACCTAATGTTTGGGTTAAAAAATGCTCAGCCTCATATTTTCAATTTGAAAATTTAACTGCCTCAAGTAGAGAAATATTGTATCACACTTGATTGAGTGGTAGAATCTATTTTTCTGAGGCAGTGTTGCATATTTTATTTTCTGAGGCAGTGTGATATTTTAACTTTTCGGAGACAGCACTGGATATAATATTTACATCAAACTATCTTAAACCTGAAACTTAAGCAAAACTTTAGAAAGAACTTACAGTGAGAATGAAAGATAAAATGCTTCACAGAGACAGCAGTTAAAAAAGTAGACTTAAAACAAAATAAAGATACATAAAGTTTTGTACAAATGATCTTACTCTAAGTCTTCCACATGTTGGTTGAGTACTGTATCTAATATACCAACTCTACTCCGAACACGGGGGTCAAAACACTCAACATGTCCCTACAATAGAAATAATAACACTCAACATGTCCCTACGATAGAAATAATAACACTCAACATGTCCTTACGATAGAAATAATAACACTCAACATGTCCCTACAATAGAAATAAAAACACTCAACATGTCCTTACAATAGAAATAATAACACTCAACATGTCCCTACAATAGAAATAATAACACTCAACATGTCCCTACAATAGAAATAATAACACTCAACATGTCCCTACAATAGAAATAATAACACTTAACATGTCCCTACAATAGAAATAATAACACTTAACATGTCCCTACAATAGAAATAATAACATGTCCCTACAATAGAAATAATAACACTCAACATGTCCCTACGATAGAAATAATAACACTCAACATGTCCCTACAATAGAAATAATAAGTTCTGTATCTTTTACTCAAATAACATTTATGTTTGAGAACACAAGTAATTTTTAAGGGCATTTCTTTAGAACAATAAATGCAAATTAAAAAATTCTCTTGCATTTTCTCAATACGATTTTTACAGTGTAGTGTACTACTTTTGGGACAAATTATACCAAAATTATAGAAACTCCAATAGATCTAACTCAAAATATGGACAATTTTATGATAAGGAAGTCTTCAATTCAATAGGACAGCTTCAAATTTATCAATTTTTTACCTTTTATAACTGAACCAAATCACTATTGTACATTAAAATTTCATGACCAAAATCTTTTAACAGTGAAATTCCATTCAATTTATAGCATGTTAATACTAAAATTAAAATGAGATAATTTGTCCATTTTCAAGCTTCAGTGTAAGTTATTTCATACAACTTATGACCAGTAGGGTTATCCTATTAATCTCAGGCCAAATTCTGTAGGAATTAAATTTGAACTAGTAGAACTGGACTTATTATGTACAAAAACCAATTGTTTTTACCCAAGGGTATAACTATTATATCATTTCCATGTATGAGACCTCTGATATCATAGCATACCTAAATTGTCTCACCTGAACCTTGTTAAATACTGTAAAGCATTCATAGAAAACTTCAGGAAAACAATACATAGATTGTCTGGTTCAACAGAGATTAATTATACGTAATTATCATGGGAAATGAGAAAGCTGCCTTGTCTAATAGACTGATATGTCTACCGAACACTGTACTAACACATGCTTGGAAATCAACAGCCAGCTTTCATTAAATTTCAATCAAGATAAATATTACTTCAACAATTCCTTACTCAACCATTTGTCTATTTATATTGCTTCCTAAAGTTTCTACACTTTAACATTAATTATTTGATTTAATATAAACAATAAGAACTAGATTGGGAATTCAATAAAGTACAGGGAAACCCCCATAAAGGAATAAAATCAGAAAATCACAATTATTCACCAAGATTATAGAAGCTTAAGTATAATGAGAAAATCAGAATCAATTGTTTCACAAAACAGAACCAGTAATTACAGAATTTAATTTCCTCTTATAATCTCTTTATTCTGTTAAAATACACATATGTACGATTTACAAATGAGTGAGTTCAAAAAGTAATTTAAGTTAGAATGGAAATTAGTGTTAATCCCTGTCTATATATTTATTAAAAGTAATAGATCTTAGCTATAAAATTACTTTTTATTGCTGATCAAAGACTTATAACTAGAATTGTATTAACATAAAAAGTCAACTATAGTAGCAAGTCAACTTTAATAGCATATCAAACATATCAACTCCAGCTTACCCAACATAAAATCAAACAAAGTGAAAGGTCATGTTAAGTTCGGTACTATTTTTTGTTGTCCATAGAATTTCCATTACTATAACTGAGTTTTTTCTCTTGTTCAAGTTCAACAATTTTTTCGAGTGTAAGACAGAATTTTTTTATTATTAGTGGTTATGTTTTCCTTCTGTCATATTATCAATTTAAACTAGAGGCTCCTAGGAGCCTTTATTGCTCACCTGACATGTTTGCATAAATTTGATATAATGCAATAAGACTGTTTATGTTGAGTGGAATCTGTGTGGGCCTGTGTGGGCCAATAGCTTGTTATAATGCAACAAGACTATTAATGTTGAGTGGAATCTGTGTGGGCCAATAGCTTGTTATAATGTAACAAGACTGTTTATGTTGAGTGGAATCTGTGTGGGCCAATAGCTTGTTATAATGTAACAAGACTGTTTATGTTGAGTGGAATCTGTGTGGGCCAATAGCTTGTTATAATGTAACAAGACTGTTTATGTTGAGTGGAATCTGTGTGGGCCAATAGCTTGTTATAATGTAACAAGACTGTTTATGTTGAGTGGAATCTGTGTGGGCCAATAGCTTGTTATCAAATGGAAGTTTTTAACGACCTTGACTGGCTATACAGCCCTTGCACGGTCGGTAGCTTGTTATAATGCAACAAGACTGTTTATGTTGAGTGGAATCTGTGTGGGCCAATAGCTTGTTTTAATGCAACAAGACTGTTTATGTTGAGTGTAATCTGTGTGGGCCTGTGTGGGCCAATAGCTTGTTTTGTCTTGCTCATTATTTCTGCTGGACTGAATTTATTCAATCCATTATAGTTTTCAAAAAAAAAAGGCAAACAAGAAAAAAACTATGGATTACAATTGTGATTTAGGGGCAATAAACTCTTCATTCATTTGACTTGTTTGTAGATTTTGTGTTGCTTAAAAATTTCGCTCTTCAAATTTTCAGTCTATCAACTATATTTTCAAGACATATTGTATAAAAACTAAAACTAATAAAAGATCAACATTTAAGGGCAATTACTCTTACAAGGAGTCAACTGAAGGCTTCTGCAGTTTTGACTTATCTGTAGATCTTATCATGCTTATCATGTTTTGCTGTTTAAAGTTTCCCCCTACCTACAATGTTTCAACAGAAATGTAAAATAATTGGTAACAATCATCTTTGAAGGGCAGCTATTCCTATAAGGACTCATTTGGTCATTTTCACTTATCAGTTGATCTTACTTTGCTGTTCCTTTTCGCGGTTTACAGTTTCTTTCTATCTACTATATTTTTCACCAAAAAATGCAAAAAATATTTTCTATAAGGGATTGACTGAGGATTTAAGCAAATGTTGACTTATTTGTAGATCGTGGCCATATTGGTTGGCAGACAGGATCATCAGACATAAGTTTTTTTTAAACTAAATACCACAAAGATAATTGCTGCTTAGTTTGGTTCCAATTGGCCCAGTGATTTCAGAGGAAATTTTTTTATTGAAGTTAACAACCAACGGAAGACAGAGAACCAAAGCCAAGTGATGGCAATAACTCACACTGATCCTGAACTAAAATAAAATGCTCCGCTGGGCGCAGCTTGATACAACCGCAGAGGTCGAACCCTGAACTGTTGGGGCAAGTATGGACACAACATTCAAGCTTGATACAGCACTGAATTTGGATTGTGATTACCGGTAAATATTTGACACAGCATAGGTTTCTGACACAGAATGAATGTGGTCTAAGAACTTAAAAATTTTTTAATTTACCTATTCAAAACATATCATTATTATTTGCTTTTATATATAAATCAGAAATAACCAATTTAAAATGGAAAATTTTAAAGAAAAAAAAGGAAAAAAAAATCCCCCCTCAAATTTTTTGAACCCCCTTATGATTCATCATCCCCAAACTCAATCCCAGCCTTCCCTTTGTGTTACAATGTATGGTGCCTTGCAGTACAATTTCAGAGAGATCCTTACACTTGAACACCAGTTATTGTCTGGAAACTAGAAAAATGCTTGTTTTTTTGCCCCTTTTTGGCCCAAAATTCCTAAACGTTTAGGGCAATTACCCCAAAACTCTAACCCAGCTATCCCTTTGTGAAACTTCCCTTTGTTTTACAATTTCATAAAGATCCATACACTTACACACAAGTTATTGTCCTGAAACTAGAAAAATGCTTGTTTTTTTGCCCCTTTATGGTCCCTAATTCCTAAAATTTTGAGGGAATTACCCCCAAAATCAATCCCAGCCTTCCCTTTGTGGTATAGTACCTTACAGTACAATTTCAGAGAGATCCATAAACTTGAACACAAGTGATGGTCTGGAAACTAGAAAAATGCTTATTTTTGGCCCCCTTTTGGCCCCTTATTCCTAAACGTTTTTGGGAATAACCCCCAAACTCAATTCCAGCTTTCCCTTTGTGATATGGAACCATGTAGTACAATTTCAGAAAGATCCATACACTTACACACAAGTTATTGTCATGAAATAAGAAAAATGCTTGTCTTTTGCCCCTTTTTTGGCCCCTAATTCCTAAAATTTTGAGGCAATTACCCCCAAAATCAATCCCAGTATTCCTTTTGTGATATGGAACCTTGTGGTACAATGTCAGAGAGATCCATACACTAACACACAAGTTATGTCTGGAAGTAACAAAAATGCTTATTTTTGGTCCCTTTTTGGCCCCTAATTCCTTAACTGTTGGTATCATAACCCTCAAAATCAATCCCAACCTTCCTTTTGTGGTATTGAACCTTGAGGTAAAATTTCATAGAGATCCATTCACTTAAACTAAAGTTAGAGTGCGAAAACCAATGTGTCTTCGGACGACGACAACGACGCCAACGTCATACCAATATACGACCACAAAAAATTTTTTGCGGTCGTATAAAAACCATGTCAATTCTTTAATTAAATTGAAATAAAATACAACAATGCATAAATTCAATATTCATTGATCACTGAAACCCCAACCTTTTGTTAACATCCAGGGGTCAATGCTTCAAGTTTAATTTGAACAGACAAATAAGCAAAGCCTTTATTTGATCAGACTTAAAAGAAATTGGAATACTTTTCAATAGAATAAAAATAACTGTTGAAAATCAAGAAATAAATCATGAAAACAAACAAAATATGTTGTCTTTACAAATATCCTATTAAATACTTAAGACTATATACAGTAGTTCTGTTTAGGTATCTGAACTGTCATTGACCACATCGAATGTGGTTTGCAGAGCAAATGTTGTCACTTTGCCAACATTGTAAAACTATGGAAACATTGAACTAGAATATTTCTGTGGAGTATTTTAACAAAGTTTACAGTTTTTCCTATTCTGGAACTTGATATTAGTTGCAATCGAAATTGATAACTAACTAGAACTGTTCACTTAGCTGGACTAACAGTAATACCCCCACTACCCAAACCCCATCTTGGATTAAAGTTGAATTATACAAGTGACTGAATACAGGGAATGGAAGAAGTTGAGAACTAGAGGCTCTCAAGAGCCTGTGTCGCTCACCTGTATTTACTGATGCTTTGGAAATCATGTAAAATAAGATTAAAATCATAATTAATAGTATTAGATATTAGATATTATAATGATATGTAAGGTAATAACAAAAAACTGCAAAATTTTTGTAAAATTACTAACTCAGGGGCAGCAACCCAACAACGGCTTGTCGGATTCGTCTGGAAATTTCAGGGCAGATAAATCTAAATCTGATGAACATTTTTTCCACCTGTCAGATTTGCTCTAAATGCTTTAGTTTCAGAGATATAAACCAAAAACTGCATTTTACCCCTATCTTCTATTTTTAACCAAGTCGTCCATGATGGTTGGAAGGCGGGGTCATCAGACAAATTTTTTAAACTAGATACCCTAATATTGATTATGGCCAAGTATGGTTAAATTTGTCTCAGTAGTTTCAGAGAAGAAGATTTTTGTAAAAGATTACAAAAACTTACAAAAAATTGTTAAAAATTTACTATTAAGTGCAATAACTCCTAAAGGGGTCAACTGACAATTTTGGTCATAACAACTTATTTGTAGATCTTACTTTGCTGAACATTATTGTTGTTTACAGTTTATCTCTATCTATAATAATATTCAAGATAATAACCAAAAACTGCAAAATTTCCTTAAAATTACCAATTCAGGGGCAGCAACCCAACAACAGGTTGTCAGATTTGTCTGAAAATTTCAGGGCAGATAGATCTTGACCTGATTATCAGTTTTACCCTATGTCAGATTTACTCTAAATGCTTTGGTTTCAGAGATATAAGCCAAAATCTACATTTTACCCCTATGTTCTATTTTTAGCCATGGCGGCCATCTTGGTTGGTTGGCGGGGTCATCGGACACATTTTTTAAACTAGATACCCTAATGATGATTGTGGCCAAGTTTGGTTAAATTTGGCCCAGTGGTTTCAGAGGAGAAGATTTTTGTAAAAAGCTAACGAAGACGACGACGAGGACGACGCCAGGTGAGCTAATAAAAAGGAGTATGTTCAATAAGGCCCTAATATGGCCCCTATTCCTAGCTAAAATTTCAAATTAGGATTTATTGACCATACCACAATAAATCATAGTTAAATCAAAGAATAGAAAGGAAAATGTATTTTTCTTGAAAATTTATGCATAAGCATTCTTTTCATGACGTCACAAATAGCAAAAATTTTGATTTTCCACGAACATTCCTTGAAAATTCATCAATTTATTATTTTTTTTTAATGGAAACATTGAGAGCATGCTTCAACAAAAAAAACCTTTTCACATACCTTTTTATATATTTGACTTGAATATTGGTTGTCTAACCCTAAAATCTATGTTTCCCAGGCCTAAATTTGGTTGAAATCCAGACAATTTTGTCAAATTTTATCAAAATCTTTTTTTTACCTTATTTAGGTTGAAAATGTTTACACTTTTTAAGGAAAACTTGACAAAAAAAGTTCTATTTGACTTTATTATGCATCTTGTCATCAACTTGAAACATTTTTTATCTTGATACAATGGGCTTACAATCAGGGGCCAAATATAGCCCTTACCAAACTTACTCCTTTGGACTTTTTTCAAGTGTTTTAATTAATATTGTCTCAGATGCATGAACATCTAACATACATGCATATTTGCATGTCAGGATCGGAGGCCATGGTTTTTTAATTTGTTGGTTTACAAATTTTTTAAATGAAAAAGTTGGGTCCGTCGGTCGAAAAAAAAAAAAAAAAATCTTACAAAACATAAATATGTATATAATATTTTTGGTATGCTATTTGGTCATCATTTCTTAAATATTAGATCCAAACATTATTGTTCAGCTGTTTAAAAACATACAATGTATGCCATCGTCATTTAATTTTGAAAAAAGGGGGGTATGTCCGCAAAAATTTATGGTCATATCACGAACGAGAAAAAATATCTGCATGTTGCTTTTTATCAACTTTCAGTAAACATGCTGATAATGATCTTCAAGCATGAAAACATCTGAAATAAAAGTTGCAAACACGTTGCTACAAAATAACACTTTACCATCCATGTCATAAACAAGATAGACTCGTCCACCAGAAAAACAAGGATATCGGTTTCATGCTTTGTCAGGCAATCCCGTTTTTTATATCCAAATGGATGAACTATATCTATGAAACAAGAAAATTCCAAATTGTTTGTGGATATCTTTAATTTTTTACTGGAAGTCTTTTACGTTTGGAAGGGTCCATTTCATCTATGAGATGAAAAATCTTAAGGAAAAAAGGAAAACAGACTTTTTGTAATGGGTTTTTAACATAGGTTTCGTTCCACAAAGTTATTTGCTCAAACAACATTTCAAGGTCAGTTGTAATTGTCTATTATTAGAAACACAAACTATGGATTATTTTTAAATTTTTTATTTGTTGAAAACAATATGTGTCATGAAAAAGTAGACTGTAATATCCTACCAACATGCACATCTGCATATCAAGATCTAACAACGCTCCAATTGAAGATGATACTCTAAGCCATGTAGTAGGATTTACTATGACAAGATCAGTGCTGAACAGGGCCATAATTTTAACTTGAAAGGGGCATAACTCTAAAAAAGAAATCAATGGACAAAGTTTACAGGGTCCAAGTAACACTTACCGTGTTTGTTCCACAGGCCAGTAGATGATGCACAGGATTTAACTCACAGCAGTTCACTTCACTAAAATAATATGCAAAACGGTAAATATGTATGTGCCTTAACTAAAGGGTAACAGTCGATTCTAAAAAAAAAAAGGCACACAAAATACAGTTATAAGTCTGACACGAATGGGCAATCGTTGTCAAGAATAACAGCTTATCAATAAATTTTGAATTATTTTATTTTGTGGATTCAATTAGAAAAGATAATATAATGAAACTAAATTTCATGATTTTATTGTTTGCTTTTGTACATGCAACTAAAATATATACTTAAGTTTTGGAATTAAATTTGGTCTTTACAAATATTCATGATATAAAACGACAACAAATCAATAAATGGAACAAGTAACAGCTATAATATAAATTTGTATCAGTAAGTCATTGTCAAAAATGAGTTTACTATTAAACTAACTTGAAGAAAATTGGAAAAACAATTGTAATGTAACATTTGAAACAAATACCTATTTATATCTGAATAAATTTCTTTATCTAATGAGAAATTTCCCAATTACACTACCTCAAACAATCATTCTTAATAAACTGGTTATGTAAAAGTAAATTGGTCAATCAATACTTGTGTAATTAAATATATATCTATAGTAGGACTGACAGATAGATAGAAGAACAAAGATGTACCATAATATGTATTATCTTTGATGGGCATACGATTATGTAATTCTCAGTACATTTTTGATGGATGTTAGGTGCAATCTATACATTTTCATGGGGAAAAGAATTTCAATTTTCATGTCTAATTATCTGTTTCATGAAATCATGTCCATCATGTCATAAGGCAAATTTCTAATATATAATTATGAGTATTTCCGTGGAGTATGTAGGAGTAATCCCAACCATGTTATATAGACTTGATTAAACTTTATATTAACTTACCTAGAATTAGTTGACAGAGGATTCAGAAATCTGCCTTGTTCTAAATTCAATCTGTAGATCTGTGAACTGAAATGTAATTAGATAATATCTCAGTCAGTCAAGTTAACAACATATCAAAATATGTAGGTTATGAACAGAATAGTTTTATAAGACAACATTTCACCAAGTTAATACATGTATGAAATCCTTTTATTTAGCAAAGTTTTAAAGGACAAAATGACATTTATAGTCTAAGTTGACCTCAATATAAATTAAAATAAAAAATGTGAAAATATATGAATTGTATTAATTAAATATTTCATTTAATAAAAAAATACAACAAGAAAAAGATGCATTTAATTCTTCAACCAAAAATGAGAATAGAAACAGTAATGTGGTTGACACAGAAACAGCTGTCATAAATCAAGCCAGATTTTTTACATTTGTTTTTTGGATTATGCATTGAAAGGCAATACAGTTGCTCAAAGTTTTCTTTTAAAAAAGAGGCTGAAGATATCAAAAGGAGAATAAAAAACATATGTCAAAGAGAGAAGCAGAAACCCGACAAAGTCATAGAGAAAAAAAACAAAAAATCATATGTCAAAGAGAGAAGCAGAGTCCTGACAAAGTCATGGAGAAAAAAAACAAAAAATTATATGTCAAAGAGAGAAGCAGAGTCCCGACAAAGTCATGGAGAAAAAAAACAAAAAATCATATGTCAAAGAGAGAAGCAGAGTCCCGACAAAGTCATGGAGAAAAAAAACAAAAAATCATATGTCAAAGAGAGAAGCAGAGTCCCGACAAAGTCATGGAGAAAAAAAACAAAAAACATATGTCAAAGAGAGAAGCAGAGTCCTGACAAAGTCATGGAGAAAAAAAAACAAAAAATCATATGTCAAAGAGAGAAGCAGAGTCCCGACAAAGTCATGGAGAAAAAAAACAAAAAATCATATGTCAAAGAGAGAAGCAGAGTCCCAACAAAGTCATGGAGAAAAAATACAAAAAACATATGTCAAAGAGAGAAGCAGAGTCCTGACAAAGTCATGGAGAAAAAAAACAAAAAATCATATGTCAAAGAGAGAAGCAGAGTCCTGACAAAGTCATGGAGAAAAAAAACAAAAAATCATATGTCAAAGAGAAAAGCAGAGTCCCGACAAAGTCATGGAGAAAAAAAACAAAAAATCATATGTCAAAGAGAGAAGCAGAGCCCGACAAAGTCATGGAGAAAAAAACCAAAAAATCATATGTCAAAAAAAGAAGCAGAGTCCCGACAAAGTCATGGAGAAAATAACACAAAAAATCATATGTCAAAGAGAGAAGCAGAGTCCCGACAAAGTCATGGAGAAAAAAAACAAAAAATCATATGTCAAAGAGAGAAGCAGAGTCCCGACAAAGTCATGGAGAAAAAAAACAAAAAATTATATGTCAAAGAGAGAAGCAGAGTCCCGACAAAGTCATGGAGAAAAAAAAACAAAAAATCATATGTCAAAGAGAGAAGCAGAGTCCCGACAAAGTCATGGAGAAAATAACACAAAAAATCATATGTCAAAGAGAGAAGCAGAGTCCCGACAAAGTCATGGAGAAAAAAAACAAAAAATCATATGTCAAAGAGAGAAGCAGAGTCCTGACAAAGTCATGGAGAAAAAAAACAAAAAAGGATGAAAGACAAACAACAGTCTACAAAACATTACATAAGAACCTAAGACGGAGTAACACACACCCCTGAACAAATCAAAGGTGATCTCAGGTGCTCTGGAAGGGTAAGCAGATCCTGCTCCGCATGTGGCACCCGTCTTGTTGCTCAGGGTAAAAAATGTGGATAGTGTCCACATGTGGACACAGATGATGCCCCCGCTTGCATAGCATATAGTTATAAAGGGACATAACTGAAGAACGGTAAAAGTGATGCTACCCAAATTTGAACTTGATCTGAGTTTTGTGGTAATAAGCATTGTGTGTAAGTCTCATAACATTTGGTTGAGGCTAACTTAAGTAGAGAACAGAAACTTACTAAAAATTCAGCAATTTTTCTATTTGTAAACACGCATAACTCTAGAACAGTTGTGTATAAGTTTTATAACATTTGGTTGAGACAAACTAAAGTTAGAGAATGGAAACGAAAAATTCAGCAATTTTTATGTTTATAAAGGGACATAACTCAAGAATGGTAAAAGTGTTCTCACCAAATTTCGTACTTAATCTGTATTATGTAGTAATAAGCATTGTGTATAAGTTTCATAACATTTGGTTGAGGCAAACTAAAGTTAGAAAACGGAAACAAAAAATTTGTACTTAGTTTTGTGGTAATGAATATTGTATATAGATTTCATAATGTTTGGTTGGGGCAAACTTAAGTTACAGAATGGAAACTAAAAATTTTGCAATCTTGCGATTTATAAAGGGGCATAACTCAATAATGGTTAAAGTGACACTACCCAAATTCAACTTGATCTGTGTTTTATCAGTGGAAGTCAAAATTAAACATTGCATTGTATAAAGCATTGATTGTAGTTGATTCAACTATAATCATGGACAAAGACAGACAACTCCGATTTAAAAAAAAAATTACTTGATATTTAGAAGAAACTTAACATTTTGCAATTTTTCCATTTATAAAGGGGCATAACTCTAGAACGGTTAAAGTGACGCCACCAAAATTCAAACTTGATCTGTGTTTTGTGGTAATAAGCATGTTGTATAAGTTTCATAACATTCGGTTGAGGCAAACTCAAGTTAGAGAACGGAAACCAATTTTGGGACATACGTACATACAGACGGACAAGGGTAAAACTTAATGCCCCCTCCGCTACACCGCTGGCATAAAAAATAAATTTGGTGTCACAATCAAGGAAAAAAGGAGGGAAATTGGCTATGACAATAGGAACATATCCCAGGTCATCTGTGACACAAAAATTTCAGTAAGTAGTCAACCAACTCATGATGGTGTTCATAAAACTTGACAAAGGATGACTTCAACTTTACCACTAGAAACACTTGGTCCAATAGCCACCTTGTAAGCAGCAACCCTCTATCAAGGAATTCATGATCAGGTAGGAAACACAAGCTCTGGAATATCATATCAACTTGGAGATATATATTCCATATGCAAGCTCTGCTGGAATGTTACTATATACAAATGAAAAGTTACAATTGGAAAGCAATTTTAAGGACATCTCCATTTTTCATACAATTTCATGGTAGAACATAATTCTTGAATTTTTCTAAATATTGTATATAAGTCAAACAATTTCTTCATTTTCAGCGTGGTTGAATAACATGCAGTATTATCATTGTCTAACCTAACACAAGCTTTCCAAAATTGTCAAAATAAATATTGATTTCAGTTGCCCCAGCAGTTTAAAAAGAATTTTTTTCAAGTGCTACATCGAGATCACAGCTTGCAGAGTGGTATGCCATATCTTTGTCGTTTTTGGGTATAGACTTACCTGACTGCAGCCATAAAGAGACCACAGCTTGCAGAGTGATATGCCATATCTCTGCCATATTTGGGTATTGACTTACCTAACTCCAGCAACATAGAGATCACAGCTTGCAGTGTTATATTACATATGTCTTCCATATTTCAGTATAGACTTATGTAACTCCAGCCACATAGAGATCACAGCTTGCAGTGTGATATGCCATATCTCTGCCATATTTGGGTATAGACTTACCTAACTCCAGCCACATAGAGATCACAGCTTGCAGTGTGATATGCCATATCTCTGCCATATTTGGGTATCCTCAATCTATAATATCTGCCATTTTGAGAATGAAGTTCTATGTATCTGTCATTTTGTAAAAATACAATCTGAAATAAAGCAATATAAATAATATCAAGTTTAAATGTACAGCCTGATTTATAACCTTGTTTGAATTTTGGTTTGCTTTAATTTACCTTTATTTTAAAGTTTTAACAATTATTATGAGTATTGTCTAATGTAAAGTGACTGCCTGGCGGATCTGAAAATAACTCACGAGATAAAACTCAACATTTTAGTTCCAGACCAAATATCAAAACATTTCTTAAAACATAATCTGAGTTATAGGTCACAAAAAATGCGAGAGTGGACCAGTGTTTTCCCCCAGAGGAGTTATGTACGGTAGTGCCTACATGCATTAATTTAGGCCCCATCCTTTAAAATTTTTTAATTCCCTTTTTCACTTATTAAGCCCATCATTCAAAAGTCATGACCACAATGCATTCACCCTTTCCTTCAAAAATTACTAAGGAAAAAATAGGTCGTCTTCCATCTCATATAATATATATATCATATTTCAGTAATAGTGAAATCCATGCTTTGGTATGAAAAACCCAAAATACCAGTCATATCAAAATTAAGTAAGCAAATGCACAACTGAACATCCTGAAAAAAAATATGTGCAAATTTGGTTGAATTCTGTCAAGCCATTTTTAAGGAGTTGAGGATTAACAACGTGTGACATGGACAATGCTTTTTGGCAGACAACAAAATAAAATGTCTAATAAAGTTCAAGTAAAAGATTATGAATACAGAAACAAACCTTTGAGTAATCATCTGATAGAAATTGAAACTTAACAACATCTGAATCAAGACCTCTCTCAAACTTCAATGACATCTGAGATACATCGTAACATCTTACTTTTGGTTTATATGTACCTGTAAAAAGAGGATAAAAACAGAATTAGTTTAGCATTGCAAGTTCAAACAAAGGGAAACAATAAAGATATGCAGCAACATCATAATCTTATATCTTGGTCTAGTTTTTATGTGGTAATAATTACATTACATGTATGTTTCATTATAATACGTTATTTCGATTGGCCAACAGCAATCTCGTGTCATTCTGAAATTAACCTTTATTTCAAAACTAAATGTAACATTCATCATGTTCATGATCACACTAGCTTCCACAATAAATTGCACAGGTAAATAAAAGAAAAACTTCATAGAAATCGTATTTTCATGATCCTAGCAAAAAAATGTAATTATAAGTATTGAATGCTTCTTTTAGTAATTTTATAGGTTGTAAAAGCGTTGACAGTGTGCACATTTCTAGAATGGAAATACAAAATGTACTTCGGTCAACGCTTTTACACCCTAATAGATTTACAAAAATCTAGAAGCATTCAATTCTTAATTAAAGAGAGACAAATTAAAAGTTTACATTTAATTTTAAAGAATTACATGTATATAAAACTTCCTTTAAGCATTTAAGGCAGAACTTGTGTTTTCAAATTTTGCTGTTGGTAGACGTGAACTTCAAGAACAATTGTATAATAGATTTTACATCAAGTTTTGACACAATAGTGCTTTAAAACTGTTAAAGACTGACTAATATGCTGAACAGGCACATAAAGTTTGTTGCGGGTTCAACATGTTTGTGAGCTCTCAGCCTCCCCCCTAACCTAGGACAAGGTGTAACAGCGCAACATTTGAGCAAACTGTTATAATCAATTGGCTTGAAACATCAGATCCTTACCTAACACAAAAACAACTAACAACAAGATTAGAAACACACAATATACCAATCTAAGAGTACTTAATAATACTGAAAACTAATTAAAAGTTGAATTTACCTAATGAATAAACCATATTACCTAAACTTATTCTCCAATAACTTCCCTAACTAACGTATTGAACTAAATGCATAAACTTTTATTTGAATCATTGAACCTTGAAAATTAGGTTAAGGTTAAGTAAACTCTATAGAGGACATGCACAGACTGTAATGAATCTGGACTAAACCTATAACAAGTACATGTGGTTTACTTGCCTAAACATGAATACTTGAACAATGAACCATGAAAAGGTCAAGGTAGGGTGAACCCTGCAAAATCGACAAAATTTGATTATTTGCTAAATTCAACAAAGATAGTTAACCTATTACACTAAGTAAATAAGAAAATTGTATAGCTTACAATATGGAATGGATTTTGCTCATTGATGAAGACTATACAGTGACCTATACTTGTTTACAGCCTCATCCTTTGGTCTCCAGATGGATAGTCTTACTCATTGGCATTCATACCACATCTCCTTATTTTTATACTAATCACAAAAACTAAATTGATCAATGAACAATGGAAAGGAGGTCAAAACAATGCAAACCCAGACAGACATATACACCTTACAATGATAAAACATGCATAGAACAAAAATAGTTCACATATTACCGATAATAACTAAAAGGAAAATGGAGTAAAACAAACAATAAAGTTTAAATTGATGTCATCAAAATATTGAACTGAAATCAAGGGCAATGGACATAAGACAGACAGACAGACAGAACATAAGGTGTAACACCACTAATTCGGGCCCAGCCAGAAAGCACATACCAGAAAAAAGTACATAGTTAACACAAAATAGTTCCTACGCATGAGTGTAACTTTCAAAATATGTAGAATATTTAGGTATTTTTTTATCAAATGAAAGCTGAATGACTGGTAATCATTGTAGAACACTTTTTGACTTATAATTTTGAATATTAAAAAAACTGCACCAAATTTTAAAAAGAGGGTACATTTTGCCTGTTTGTCAGATCCGAAGTACCTGCTTTGGTACATCCGAAGTTCTGGGAACCAGTTCTTTCTTATATGCCATTAAAGATATGTTGATTTTTTTCAGTACAAGACACCATAAAGTGTTGCTTTGACATGCAATGATTGTCACTTTATTTGAACTTAAAGTAAAAGAGCTGTGCCTCCTTGAAATTGAGGAATTTAACATAGAAAGCAATGGGGCCATGAATTAGTGGTGTACTTCCTATTACAGAGAATCATCAGAAATTTAATTTTTAGAAGTTGTACCTATTCCAATGAAAATTAGTCACATTTGATGTCAGTTATCATGTTTAATTATCTTTTTTGGATGAACAATTCTATAAAAGTGAAATTTCAGCTGTTAAATTGACATAATAAGATATTTTAGCCTTTTATGGTCATACAACATGCATGCAGTTATGACTTGACTCCAAGTTCTTATTTTTGCATAATTTGGGATTGAAATCAATAAAACATGTATATCATGACTTGTTTATGGTAAAAAAAGTAGCTCTTGGTCAAATAATCATATGATTTTTCAAGTTTTATTGGTTTTCTTATGGTAGCCTTTTACATTCTTGGCAATTGGTATATACTCATATAAGAATTCCAAAATCTCACTGTACATGCAATTTTGAACCAGTTTAGCAAGTTATCCAGCTGAGGGATATATAAATTGCTCTTAATAATCTATGTTGTACCACAGAAGTATGGTTTATACCAAAAATGTCCCTTTTCCAATTTGAAGAAAAAAGGGGGGACACTATTCTTAATGATGTCTTAGGTTTGGACTAATATATTTTTATTAAATGAACAACCTCTGGTAAAAATATGACTATTGGTAAGCACATTGCTATCCTAATAGAAATTAACAAATAGAACAATGATATTGAGAATAAAAAAAGTATATTGGCCATTGGTAATATCCATATGCAGTTTTCTCTGAATAACCCATATGTTACTACCAGTCCAATTTGAGCTTAAAATTAGTAAAATAGTATTTGGACTAAAGCTTTATATGTTTTTTATTGCTTGAAATAGATCATAGAATGATATAAAGTAAAGCTGAAGTCAATATAGCAAGTTTGGTTCTGTTATAGGTGTAACACCACTAATTCTGGCCCGGCCAGAAAGCACATACCAGAAAGTAGTACATATTTAACACAAAAAAGTTCCTAAGCACGAGTGTAACTTTCAAAATATGTAGAATATTTAGGTATTTTTTTATCAAATGAAAGCTGAATGACTGGTGATCATTGTAGAACACTTTTTGACTTATAATTTTGAATATTAAAAAAACTGCACCAAATTTTAAAAAGAGGGTACATTTTGCCTGTTTGTCAGATCCGAAGTACCTGCTTTGGTACATCCGAAGTTCTGGGAACCAGTTCTTTCTTATATGTCATTAAAGGTATGTTGATTTTTTCAGTACAAGACACCATAAAGTGTTGCTTTGACATGCAATGATTGTCACTTTATTTGAACTTAAAGTAAAAGAGCTGTGCCTCTTTGAAATTGAGAATTTAACATAGAAAGCAATGGGGCCATGAATTAGTGGTGTACTTCCATAAGGCTGTAGACAAGATCTGAATTATTCAGCACTGAAAACTTTGCTTTTGTGTGTTTTGTTGCTGTGCATGTACTGATTTTGTGTCATGGCATGATGGGTGGATACCCCATAATCTTTGTTTTTCTATTAATGCTACAATACAAAAAATATTTTATTTTGTACACACTAAAGTATGCATACTAGATTTTAGATTTGATTTTGATTTTTGTGTTTTTAACACCACTTTTAAGCACCGCTTTTGGGCTATTTCGTGGCAGCCAGTTTTTATTGGTGGAGGAAGCCAGAGTGCCACCGACCTTCGATAGGAAAATTGACAACCCTAGTCAATTAAGATTGGAGTCTAGTGCACCCGCACAAGCGGGGTTCGAACTCACAACCTCAGTGTTGACTGGCTAGTGATTACAGAAGTAACTACTTAGACCACTTGGCCACCGAGGCCCATCTAGATTTTAGAACAACTAAAGCTAATCTAATTTGTATTAACCAGGTGTTGGACAAACTGAAACATTATAAAAAATTTAAAAATGTAAAAAAAAAAAAAATGGAATGAGTTTAAAGACAGAAAAGTTGTTTGGCATTGACATACTGCCCTTAATCTTCCTTTTCGAGATAATTATTAGTATTTACCAATATTTAAATTAGACAGTAGCCTAACATCAATCAAATTAAGGTTAGTTAAATTTGAGACCAGATCAATATTAATTACATTTTGAGATGTAGTAGTAGATACATTGTCTGAAAGAAAAGTGTTCACTTAATTTGATTTCAAAAATTGTCTTCACATGAATTATTTCTTAATATGAGAAAAAGCCTTAAGCTCATATCAAATTAACAGATGAGTGCATCAAAAGTCATCAATATTTAATTACAACTATAAAAGTACAAGAAAACTTATGATAATAAAACATATTATGTAATGGGAACAGAAATCTCAGTCAAACTGGAAATCAAGTACTTCTAAAAGTACAAACTCAATAGTACTAAACTCATCATAACTTCTGGGAAATTAATGCTTCTTAATTAACCTTGCAAGCACAATAGCAACTTGGACATAAAAGAAGTTTCTCTCACAAGAATCTGGTCTGTTTTAGTTTACATTTAAAAAAATATAGATGATACACAAAGAGCAATAACTTCTACTGGAAATGTTGTTTTGATCAATCTATAGTAAAAGCATTGTAATATTTATGTCACTATGGTATAAATATACACAAGTGAACTCATATCCAATATTCCATGTGTATTTTGTAACGTCAATATGGATGTTTTGGTAGTATCCAAAAAATATTTGCTTGTGATAAATAGTGTATTTTATTAATTTACTAAGATATTGCCTACAGAAATTAACAACAGTATTCACTCGAACACTGATGAAGTCTATTGCAAAAACATGATACTGTTTATGATGAGGGATGAACAAATTCTATGACTGATAAACAAATGTGACAACATTTCAACCAAAAGTTCTAATTACTACAAATGTTTATCTTAACATGAAAACAAATGACAGTGGCGAAAACTCTGGCAGAATGTCAACAAAAGTCTCATGAAAATAAATGACAGTGACGAAAACTCTGGCAGAATGACAACAAAAGTCTCATGAAAATATTAAATGACAGTGACGAAAACTCTGGCAGAATGACAACAAAAGTCTCATAAAAATAAATGACAGTGACGAAAACTCTGGCAGAATGACAACAAAAGTCTCATGAAAATAAATGACAGTGACGAAAACTCTGGCAGAATGACAACAAAAGTCTCATGAAAATAAATGACAGTGACGAAAACTCTGGCAGAATGACAACAAAAGTCTCATGAAAATAAATGACAGTGACGAAAACTCTGGCAGAATGACCACAAAAGTCTCATGAAAATAAATGACAGTGACAAAAACTCTGGCAGAATGACAATAAAAGTCTCATGAAAATAAACCATCTTCTTAAATTACAGCAGCCATATCATAGTCAGAAGTGATGGTCATCTAGAAAAATCATATCTACTTTTAATAATCTGCTGGTAAATTGAATGGAGTTAACAAAACTCAACAAAGAAACCAGGTACATAATTTTCTAAGTCAGACCTGTGTTACTAACTGGACAACACATATTACAGAATTACAACGATATTTACCTGCAGCACATATATACTGTCCATCATTGGTCACTCTAACACAGTGACTAACTGTTGGCATTTCAAAATCCTGCAGCAACTCAATTCGTCTTTGAAGATCTACAATAGTGTGTACTCTATTGATCATTACTGGTGCATTGTTAATTAATACTTTTAAAAGTGGTTCAAGCTTCTAAAATAAAGTCTTAAAAAGTTAACATTTGCCTAAAAAATTCTATCTTTACACTATGAATGAAAAAATTCTCTCAAGACTTGCATTACTTGTAAAAGTAAAATTGTAGCAATGGTGTGGAGAATAGGTGATTAAATAATAAAATGAGATAAATAGCAAATAGCACAACTTAATATTTGTGTTATCAACAATTATGAATTTAGAAATGTTTATGTGCATTTATCATTGCCATGTGATATTAACCAAATACGTTGCAATATCAGGAAATGCTGCATTCAAATAATGCTGTCAAAATGCAGCATGTAAGTTTCTTTTTTGCTAAACCGCTTCTGTTACAATTTTCACAATGCATGTAATATAAACATCTAAATAAAAGAAGAATGTGCCTGACGACACGAATGCCCCTGCTCAAGCTTTGCAAGTTTCCAAATTAAAAAGGAGCATAACGCTAGAACGGTAAATGACTTACTGCCCAAATTTGAACTCTGTCTGCTTGATGTGGTTCTTAGCATTGCGTATGAGTTTTATAAAATCTAGATGAGGAAAACTTAAATAAGAGTGCGGGGAAGGACGGACGGTCAAGGGTAACACTTAATGCCCTCTTTGCCTACGGCAGGGGCAAACAAATGTCAGAATTTAAAGTATTACAGGAAATACATATAAAGAATAACCATACCAACATCCTGCTTCTGTAGTGATCTTTTTCTTCTGTCTGATAACCACTGAAAATAATAATTCATTTATCATTAATTTATACACACATGTTTCAAGAATTTCATAATGACATTTCCTAACATAAATCATTCTGACAAATCTGTTGCAACATAATAATTCTAAATTTCTCATCTTAAGGTTCATGTGGACCCTATGGCTAAAATGGCTGCATTTTCACCTCAAAATGTACTCTGAGTACAGACAAACATGTGTATCTGGAAAAGTTTTAATGCATAGCATGCCCCAGATAAATAAAATTCAAATACATTTTATGTTTTAGGAAATTTAAAACTTAACTGGATTTTGCAGTGCACTTTTTTTCGTCCCTGCAGAAGATGATAAAATTAAAAAACAGTTGAGTTTCACTTGATATGGTCCACTCAGTGACACAGTTTCAATCACCAACTATTGTCAGGTATCTATTGTCCTTCTATTGTCCATTTCAAGTAACAGTTCACTTTAATTATTACCTGTAGGGAAGTTCTCAAACCTCTTTCCCAACTTTGTTTATTTTGGCACCTTCTGTGGGAACGAAAAAAAAGTGCACTGCAAAATCCAGTTAAGTTAAAATTTCCTAAAAACATAAAATGTTTTGAACTTTATCTAGCCATAGGGTCCACATGAAGCTTAAACCATGAGTCAATATTATACATTATTTAGGGAATTCATCCAAACTCCAGGGACAAATATGTACAATAGTTACAACATAATACATTTACCATGTTTACAAGTTATAATAACCATCTACATGTATCGGATCTCCTGTAGTTGGTGATTGCAATACTGGTATACCAGTATTGTCCACAATACTGGTATAAAAATTTTGTACCAGTATTGTAACTTTTTTTTTAAAAAACAGCAATACTGGTACATTACTGATATACCAGTACTGTATTTGTATTGTTCATTTTACTTTAAGATGTATAATGAAAAATGAATTTTAAGCAAAATTAGATATTGAAGATCAATGAAGGGAGATTAAATGAACTCAAAAAGATTATAGAGGATAATACACCAGTTTCACATTTAACTGCGCATGTCTAATCTAATTAGTCAAACTATGAAATCATGCGATAATTTCCGCGAGTTCATCAACTGGGGGCTAACGGTTGATAAGCAGTGACAATGCAGACTTGGAAAAAAATCATCTGATTAAATGTTTGCGTTTATTACATGTCAAAGCAACATGAGCATCATTTGAATCAAAATATAAAAAATATATTGACGAGACAACTTTATCAACAATGACACATTCAAAGATTTTAAAACGGAATACTGCTGTGTTGTTGGTTGCGGTAATATACGATCTGATATGCCGCCTGGCTTTAATTGTACCTTTAATTGTCACAAATTCACGTTGAGGTCGTTCACTTAACGGGAAGAATAAATTAGATAAATAAGCGGGGCTCACTTCATCTACATAGTATTAGGTCATAAATTAAGAAGTCAATTAACACCTTAGCCATGTGGAATCAGGCCTTGTTTTACCTTGTACAATCTCACCAGGTGACAATTGATAAAAACGTACCATTATCTATACATACATAAGTTGTGCCACTTTAAATAGTACTGACTCCTCTGCACCAGGCACGAGGATGACATACCAGTTATGTGCAACTTCTTACAATATCTTACCATATCATTAATCATGTTAATGTCCCAATACACATTTTAATATGCACCCACCATGCCATATAGCACCGTCCCTTGGTGCCTCCTGCAGTTAAGCTAGATATACTCACAGAATTCTTTTTTTTTTGTTACTTTCTAGAGGTGTGCCTGAGACGAAGGTTTTATATATACTCCTATATATATATACGAATATGTGAAAACTGTTGTTTCTTATTTGTGTTTGTAACTATGTATACCGTATTGTTTATTATATTTGTAAAAATAATCTTATAATGATATTATATTATGCTCCTTGTGAGCCCATTTGATGGAAATAAAGCATCTTCTTCTTCTTCTTCATACAGTTACTGATAAAGGGCGACTATTTGATTGATTTATTCAACTTTTGTACACAATTATTTCCTGCATCCTGCAGATTATTCTTTTCCATCCTGCCTGGTCATACTTATTTATTTTTAACTCCTACTAGAATAATAATTTTCTAAACACCCCCCCCCCCCCCCCCTAAAATTCAAATGGTCATCCCCTTATACAGATATTTAAAATGTAAACCCTAGTACCTAATTTATACTTATTTATACTTATTTATCATGGCCAGTACGGACCTTAATGCCACTGGGAATATTTTAATAATTTAGGAGGGGGGGCATTCAGCAATTTGATCTTTTTTTTTATGGCAAAGCGTGGTAAATATAGGATATTCAATTAATTTTAATGGCATGAAAATGATAAAGTAAAATATGTAGAAAATTACTCTGGTTGCTGGGACGACTGAACCTCTGCATAGACGAAGTCGATCATGAACATAGCTTAGAAATTAAAATGGTATTGAATGCATTGTATTATAGTCTGATGTTTGAAATTAAAGATAAACCTGTATTTCTGATAGTATTTTAAAACTGCTTTTATATCTCTCTTCATTATCATGGCCGTATAAAATATCACTGATGCAGAAATATTTGAAACAAATGTACATTCAAATAAGAGGATGTGGTATGAGTGCCAATGAGACAACTCTCAATCCAAGTCACAATGTATAAGAAGTTAACAATTATAGGTCACACTGTCACAGTACGGTCTTCAACACGGAGCCGAGGCCCTGTCTACTACATGTCAATTTTTTTTGTCTGTATTCTGAAAGCATTTTATAAGAGCTATATCTTCCCACATTTTATTTTGATATTCTATCATTTATTTTTAACTTCAAATATTCTTATGATACCTTAAAATTTTTCTCTGTATAGTCCATACACAATGTTTCATATTTTTACAGCCTGTAGCTTAAAAACAAAACTTGGTGACCTATCATTGTGTTTTTCATATTTTTAACATATCACAATATATACTACATCTTTGACAAAGGATATAAGGACAAATTCTATCAATTTTGGTTTACACTTCTATACTACTATTAGTGGAAATTTCGATTATTTAGTAATGCCGGTAACTTGTCCTTGTACCCATAAAATTTCACGTAAAAGTCACCATAATAGTAACCTGTTTTTTTTAAAGAAAATTAAAAGTTCGAGTCTATGATACTAAACCTATATGTAGGCCGTAACCCCTTTACATGCATGTCACAGGCCGAAGATGCAAAAAAATATTTCAGAAAAACTATGAATTGATACTGGAACAGAACTGAAATTAAATGTATTTTCTTTTTATCAAATACTTTTCTCTTTTCAAGAAAAATCAAACTGATATACTGCAATGTACATAGCGCAGTAGGCAAAAGAAAACTAATTACAAGATTAATACTTTTTTAAAAACCATTTTACTAATATTAAAACACAACTGTTAGCAACAAGATGACTTATTTTCGGGTTTGAATTGTTTTGTGTCGGGACCTTTTAGAGCTTACTATTCGGTATGGATTTTTTCATTGTCGAGAGCTGTATGGTCATATATAGTTGCTTTCATCTGTCATTTTGGGTCTGGTGGATAGTTGTCTCGTTTGCAATCATACCACATCTTTTTATTTTAAATTTGTTAATCAAATAAACGATTATTAATATCTTAAACTTAAATAATCTCAAGCATACAATGAGAGAGAGATGTGTATTATTAGTTGATTTATTATCGTGTTGCTAAATATCAGAGTCAATTTGATGTAGCCCCCTGTCACGTATGATATCGTTAATTATTGCGGGATTTAAACTAAAACGCGCATAGGATTTCGAGATCAGCGTTGATAAGTCGCTTATGTGAAACTGGTCTATTGTGAAATCAATTAACAACCAGTTAAAAATAATTACTATACTTGTACAAATAAACAAAAGATTATTGTAAGGGATGACATCAAAAGATCAATGTAGGATAAAAAACTTTTATCCATATTGGTCAACCAATTTTTCCCAAAGTTAAATTCAGGAGGGGGGGTCAGTGAAAAAACTATTTGAATTAAGTTTTTTATCCTACATTGAACTTTTGATGTTGTCCCTAATTAACTCATCTTATTCAAACAATTGTTAATTATATAAATATCATGTATCTATCACAATACTTTATAAATAAAATTTATTTCTCAAAAAGAAAACATGGACAACGCGTCTTCACAAAGTATGGACGATGTTGTCCTATGGCTGATACATCTTTTCAAGGTATGGCCGATATATCCTATGAACGTCGTGGCAGTATTGACCTCGCCTCCTGCATCGAATTTATATAATAGATAAAAGAGGCAAGGTAATTTATTACTAACAGGTCACTTTTTGCATGAATGGTGACACCTTAAGATCATCCTTAGCATTGAGGACTACACTCTTAGAGCACCACTGAACAAGATATAAAGGCAACGTTTAGTGTCATAGACATGAATTAAAAAAAAAAATATTCCACTTTGTGACTCCCTCGTCACTTTTTCAGTTTTTTCATTAACCATAAAATATTTCTAGTCATTTACCTGAGGTAATGATTTTCCAGCACTTAAATTGTATATTTTCACATTGTTTGGATTAGAAACTTGCATATTAATAGCGTAAAAATAAAAATCAGATCACACGTGCAGTTGTTTACATTTTTTCAAAGGGAGACAACTTATTCAAGCTCTAACTACAATGAGTCATTGATTCCGGATACGAACTTTGGAAATTGTGAATATAAATACGAAAGTTTTCTTTTGATTCAGTTACATATAATCGAATACATAAAACATAATGCTCTTGTGAGCTCTTTGCCATATGAAGATAACATATACTTTACAAAAGTAAATAGAAAACAGAAAGCATACTGATGGCGGATATTCTGAGCAGCAAAAATTATTCAAAAATGCACTTTGGATAAATAACGTGCTTTTGATGGTCCGTTCAATTCGGTTGACCGTTAAGATTTTTCCACTCTGCACACTGCATTGCACTACCAAACAATTTTATCAATCAGAAGGAATCTTATTCAGTTAAATGGTCCTTTGATAAATCGGGTTGTAGATTTATTCGCTGCCGTTGAACTCATATGAAGCCTTCTTCTCTAACGATAAAAGGGAACTATGCTAGATATACTCATTGGAACTGTGATGAAGTGATTAAACATGTCAATTTTCTCCTCGAAAATATCTATTCGTCCATAGGTACACAGATTTAGTTAGAAAATTTGCCGGATGCAATTGTAGAATTCCTCGGAATATCACATCCTAATTTTTACAATGATGTTTTCATAAAACCCCTAAATTTAAGTACGATCCATGTAAACCAATTGATCTTTTGAATAAACTTGGGCATATTCTTAAAGGTTATCAATTTAACATAGTAGCAAAATCTTTAAATATTGTGTTTATCGGTACTAACGTTGGTATAAAAATAAGGAGATGTGTTATGATTGCAAATGAGACAACTATCCACCAAAGTTCAAATGAAGTGGATATAAGCAATAATAAGTAACCACACGGCCTTCAACAATGAGAAAAACCCATACCGTGTAGTCGGCTATGAAAGGCGCCGACATGAAAAATATGAAACAATTCAATTGAGAAAACTAACGGATTTGTTTTTGAAAAATTAAAATAACTAAATATATATTGCTATATATACAGTTATACCAACTCAAGATCCTATATCCTTTCGATATTGTTTATTTGGCATTGCACAGGGTCGTGTTTCTCATGCTGTTTATGACGTCTTTACACTAAATCCATTGGATGTGTACTGATTTGCTACTTTAGTTTGGGCGAGCATGATTTATATATTTGTTGTAATGGATTAGAACTAGCTTTTAGTAACTGCGAATACTCTTATTTTGGTGTTTTGTGTCTAAATATTTTTTATGGTAGTGAATTTTGTGCATTGTATAGATCTTTTGAGTTAAGCCAATTGCAACTGATTTTTACAGTTTGTTCTGATACTGTGCTGTTACACCCCTGCAAACATGTTTAATCCCGCCATATTTTTGTTATGTGTCTGTCCCAAGCTAAGAGCCCGTAGTACAGTTGTTGTCGTTGCTCATGGTTCATTTCTGTCATATTTTTTTAACGACATTGTATATTTATTCACCAAATATGCTTGTTACATTGTTACACCAAGAAACCAAGCTTTTCTTGATGTATCCTGTTATATTCCACTGATTACCCAGGTTAGTAGTCAGCTGCTGGTATATATGTATATATTATAATAATATGTATAAATTTCTTGAAATACAATTTTACAACATTTTAATGCATTATGTTTTATTCTATTCAATCGTCTAAACTTCTTTTTAGTGACTTCAGTAATGGATTAAATTTCATTGTTCTGTTTTCGTTATATCTTTTAATGTATTCTTGAACAAAAATTTGATAAACATTTACATTTGTCAATTTCTGATTAGATACATAATATGGTTTATAAATAGAAAAACCTAAAATTGTTAGGAAATAATTCAGACCAAAATAATTTTTGTCAAAAATTTTATATCCGAAGACTAATTGCTTTAACGATATTCTAAAATTTAAATTTGATTTTATCATTAACTCATAAATACTTTTCCAAAATTTTTCTAAAAATCGACAAGAAATAAAAAAGTGGTTATAATCTTCTTCTTCGTTACATACATTACATAGACCGTCATTCTTCTGTTTCCATTTAAACAATAAGTGTTTTGTTGGTAATATGAATTGTAAAAGTTTCCATCTATATATTTTTAACTTATTCTCTTCTAAATAATGAAACATGAAAACATATAGCTGGTTAATACTAAGGTTCTCATTAATTTGTAAAATACGCATCCATTTGCTAACACCAATTGATGGTTCAATTTTATCTTTACAAATTGACTTATATAATATATTTGTTGAAAAGCTTGAAGCCTCAATGTAATTTCCTTTCCAGATCAGTTTCTGTCTAGGAATATTTACAATACTTTTAATAGAATTTTCAGACTTTAACATCTGAAGCCAGTCTTTTGGGATGGCTTTTTTTAAAATATTTATTTCTGCAATCCAATTATTCTTATTCTCTAATTTTTGCAGAATAAAATGTTGAGATATATTATCAGTGTCATCTATAATATCATTGACAAATATCAAGTTACTCTTAATCCAATTTTCAAAAATAATGGTTTTATTTTCGAAATTAATCAGTTTGTTCCCCCAAATTACCTGTTTTCTTATTTCTGTGAAGTTGGTAGGTTTTTTTGTCTGTCCACCACCTGATATTACCCAACATTTAAATACTTCTCTATAAAATTCAGGAATGTGTTTTATATATTCTAGAATTTTCTTCTTTTCAAAATTCATCTTAAAAATCAACCAATTAATACCCACCACACTGAGATATTTTAATGGAATCAACTTCCAGTTTGAAATATCATTACTAATGAGTTTACTTACCCAAGATGCTTTCAGAGACATAAAATAACTTTGTATGTCGATCATTTGTAACCCCCCTTCTTCGTATGACTTTATCATGGTATTTCTTTTAACCTTATCTGGTTTACCATCCCAGATGTATTTATAACATTTACTTTCTACATCTTTTCTAAATTTGTCTGGAACTGTACAGGCATTTGCCAGAAATGTAAAAAGTGGTAAAACTAATGTTTTTATAATAAGAATTTTCCCGATTAAAGTTAAATTACGTTTTCCCCATAAATGAAATAATTTATCCATTTTCTCAATTTTATTCTCCCAGTTTAATTTTTCACATTCTTCTCTGTTATGACCAAAATATATTCCTAATGCTTTGACTGGTTTATTTGTCCAATTAATCCCGGCTACCTTATCTTTACTATTTTTCAGTTTTCCTATCCATATACCCTCTGTTTTATTTTTATTCAAAGTTAACCCAGAAAATGATCCAAAAATTTCTATTTCATTCATAGCAGCTTTGATTTCTTTCTTATTACTGAGAAATAAAGTCGTATCATCAGCTAATTGAGAAATTTTAATGCTATGATTTTTATTATCTAGTTTAACTACGAACCCTTTGATATCTCTGTTTTTTCGAAGTCTTAAAGCCATGATCTCCACGGATAAGACGAAAAGAAGAGCTGATAAGGGACACACCCCTGCCTTATTCCTCTTGAGTTATGAAATATTTCTGAGATCCATCCATTATTAATAACACAAGTTTGTAACCCAGTATATAATGTTTTTACCCAGTTTATAAATGATTCATTAAATCCAAAATGTTTCAAAGTGATTAACATAAAATCCCATTCCAAGGAATCAAAAGCTTTAGTAAAATCTACAAAAACTATTGCCCCTTCAATCGAATATGCGTCCGCATAGTCAATAATATCTTGAATTTGTCTCAAATTAAAACCAATAAATCTGTTTTTAATATACCCTGTTTGATCTTCATTAATAATTTTTGGTAGTATCTTCTTTAAGCGTTGTGCTAGAACAAAAGACAATAGTTTTAAATCTACATTTAGTAGAGAAATTGGCCTATAATTATCCAACAATAAATGATCTCCCTTTTTAAACAATAATGTCAAAATACTAGTACGTTGTGAGTGCGATAAACTTCCTTTTTCATTACCAGTGTTTAAAACCTTGATATTTTTGTTAATAAATCGGCCTGATCTGTTGTTATATTTCCATTCTCGTCACTCAGTTTATTTATCGACTTTTTTACCTGTCTCTGTTTTTCTAAACCTAAAAAATATGCATTGTTTTTTTCCCCATATTCAACCCATTTCTCCCTTGACCTAACCTGTGCACCTCTAGCTTTCTGTTCGTATATCTTACCTATTTTTAATTCTAAATCTTTTATTTCTTCATCTAAATATGCATCTTCTTGAGGTAATGCATCTCTTAACCTATTTCTCTCTTCCAGTTTTTTTTCTAGTTCCCGACTTAGTTCTCTGTTTGCTTTTGCTTTATTTTTACAATATGCTATGCTTACCTCCCTTATTTCTACTTTTAAAACGTCCCACAATAATTGACAATCCATATTATTATTTCCATTAGTATATTTATGAATAAGATTACTTATTAGCTCTTTGTATTTTTCCTCTTTTAAAATAGAGTTGTTAATCTTCCAATATCCCTTTCCTCTTTCTGACACACCAGTTCTTATACTTAAGATTGTATTATTTCACATTTTCCAAGTCGAGGCCTTATAAAGCCGACTATACGATATGAGTTTCCTCATTGTTGGCCTATAAATGCTTACTACCACTTCATTTTAACTCTGTGGATAGTTGTCTCATAGACAATCATACCACTTCTCCTCAGTTTTATATAGATTCAGCACTGTCTCTGGTGCAAAGCACTACTAAAAAATTTAGGCACTAAATGAAAATTCGAAAACTCTATTCTTTATTTTTTAGCGCAATTTTCTCTATATTCATCATCTTTTTGGCCATGATTCTCTATTTTGTAAACTCCACCCAGACGCACAAAAAAATTCCGACTGATTAATTATTGGAGTCCGTCCTTGGTAATAAAAAAAAACCTAAATGAAAAGGTTGTATCGCATCAATAATTTGACCAAAATAACAAAAAGTAAAATAACAAAAATACCGAACTCCAAGGAAAATTCCAATCGGAAAGTCCCTTATCAAATGGCAAAATCAAAAGTTCAAACACATTTTTTAGTTTAAACATATTTTATTTACTCAAAGTAAAATGG